ATTTATTTGATGCTTTAAAGTAAACCTACATATCCCAAGTTCCTGATGAATGTTTGATAAACTTCTGAGGATTCGCTGAAAAGTTGATTGAAAAACTTACCTTTCGTCCTCTTGGTCTCAATGCAGTTTGTCCAAATCCTTGGACTGGGGATAACTATGTGGACTCCACTGACGTCAGAGCGGAGCAGCAGCAGCAGCAGCGGCAGCTGAAACAAAGCACCAGAAATTCAGCGGGCCAAAAAACAGAGGAATTTAAATCAAAGTGTAACCGATTTTTCTCTCCTCTCTTTACAGGTGGAAAACGTGCGGATGATAGATCGCTACAACACCAAGAATCCCACGGTGGGTACCCTATATCTGACCGCCACCCATTTGATTTTCGTGGAGCCCGACAGCAACAAGGAGACCTGGGTAAGTGAATGATGACATCATCAATTTCTTCAACTAAAAACGCTGGCATTGTGTGTGCGAGAAGAACTTTTTCAGTTTGAGCCAGAGTGCTGAATGATTATTTGCTTCGCCTCAAAAAAAGAAAAGAAATGAGAAAAACAACAAACTGTTTAGTGAGTCACCTTAGTAGGCTTTGGCTCTGGGTACGTGCCTAAATGGGTTTTTTTGGTTTATAATACACCTCCTCGCAGCTGTCAAAATGTTTACAAAAAGAAAAACCCCAACTGGCACGGCCTAAGATCCACTGCATTTCCGCTAAGGCTTATGCTTAGGATGAGTGTCGTGGCGCGGAAAAGTTTCATTTCCAACAAGTTTCTGCAACTTGTTTCGGTTGCTTTAAGTTCTGCCTGTTTAACAACGGAATTTAATTCAGCAAATTGCATTCTTCGACGCAGAAAAGAAAGTTTGCATAAGCGTGTTGCGTATACGCCCCATTCGCACGCACAAGCAGAAATGGGATTTGCTCAGCCATTGTGTGTATTAATTGCACAGCCAAACAGCAGCATATTTTCTTGTTTCAACCGGGGGAAACTCTTTAAATGCAATGCCAGAAGAGGAAGGAGGAGGAGGAGGGAACTAGCAAAAGCTGTTCCAGCTTAGCGCCTCGGCATTGTCCCGGGCAACGCGATTTGTTAGCTGAGGGGTTCTCCTTGCTGCTATATGTCAAAAGGACAATGGCTCAGCGCCAAGTTAGCTAGCAGTAGTAGTATCCTTTGATGTTTGCTCGTTTTCACTGCAGGAAATGCCCACATCACTAAATGTGCTTAATTATTCCATTTGAAAATTTCCCTCCCTGCGTATACGTAATATTTTTGCTCCTGTACCAAAATCACGCATGCATCGCATTTTAATTGCCAAGCCAAAAATTGTATTAATTATGCACTCGTCGCCACCGACGCTGCTCCTGGTGCAAGTTGGCGAACACAAGTGCCACAAGTGGCCCCAGGGGAAGCCCCCGCACTATCCCGGACGAGTCGCCCACTCACTAAGTGGTTAATTAAAACTTGAAACCGAGTCCAGAAGAGTGGCCTGGCATTTAAGGAGAGCAGCGACGGAGATATCGATTTTCTTTGCCATTGAAAATTGCCTGCTTTTAGTTCCTCATAATCCGGCAGCTGCCTTGTCCCGCTTCCCCTGGCTCCCTTACCCCGCTGCTGTTTCCTTTTTTTACTGCCCGCCACTGGGGCGCATCAATTATTTAGTGGCGAAAGCAGTTCCTGGCCAGGCACGTAGTCGGTCTCCCCCAAAAGGCGGGGGGGAAGTAAGTAGAGTTACATTGAGGTTTTCAGTGCTTTCTTTTTCCTTTTTTTGGACAAGCAGTTGCATAATAGCAACCCTGGACGAAGTCGGGCCATCAGCAATATTTTTGAGGAAAATAACAGGCAGTATAAGCTTGTATGATTGGTATTAACTATCGTATGAGTTTGATTTTCCCAAGTATGGCTTCTAGAATGGCTTTTTCCTGGCTATATAATTCACTTTTAGATATCTATAATATATTATTCTTATTGGTTCTTTGGAAAAACAGAGGATTCAAACCCTAGTTTTCACTTAGGGGTACTTTTTGAGACCTATTACACCTACTTGTTACTAAAATATAATACCAAGGGTTCAGATAATATTGTAAAATAGAAATTCTATACAAATTGTTAATGTTTTCCCCCCTTATAACCTTCAGATCCTTCACATGCACGTGGCCAGCATTGAAAAGCTTCCATTGAGCACCACAGGATCGCCCCTGCTCATCCGTTGCAAGACCTTCTTGTCGGTGACATTCGTCATACCCAAGGACTCTGAGTGCCACGATGTATACACCTCGCTTCTGAAGCTCTTCCAACCGGGTAAGGGTCCACATCAGAGTCCAAGAAAATCATGCAAATAATGAAATTATTTCCCGGGGGTCTCAGTGTCCATCAACAAATTATATTGCTTCAATTACCAACCGGCCAAGGATGATTTCCCCAAGAACGCCGGCTGGGACTTCTTTAAGCTGGAGGCCGAGTTCAAGCATATGTTGGTGCCCAACGAGAACTGGACGCTGTGCTCCATGAACGAGAAGTACGAGCTGTGCGACACCTATCCTCGTCAGATTTACGTGCCCAAGGAGGCCACAACATTAATGCTCATCAGCAGCTCACGATTTCGTTCGAAGGGTCGCCTGCCAGCGCTCACGTATCTGCACAACAACAAGGTGAATATTCACATAAATCCTTTAATATCTTTGGGAAACTATCAAAGGACTCTCTCTAATGACATTAACTTATCCATTTAGGCCTCCATTTGCCGGTGCAGTCAACCCCTGTCCGGCTTCAGTGCCCGTTGTCTGGAGGATGAGCAAATGCTGGAGGCCATACGTAAGACAAATCCAAACACAGACTACATGTACGTGGTGGACACGAGACCGCGGGTGAGTTCCTCCGAATGCCTAGCATATGTAAATAAATCCTATTACACTCGGTTTCGGTTCACAGATAAATGCGATGGCCAACAGAGCCGCCGGCAAGGGATACGAGAACGAGGCCTTCTACGAAAACATCAAGTTCCATTTCCTTGGCATCGAGAACATCCACGTGCAACGCGCCAGCTTGCAGAAAGTGCTGGAGGCCTGCGAACAGAAGTCGCCGACGATGAGCGCATTTCTGAATGCCCTCGAGTCATCCGGCTGGCTGAAGCACATACGCTCCATATTGGACACGTCGAGGTAAGCAAACAAGCGAGGAAAGGGTGAGGTATTTACTCCCTATCTTCCTACATTTTATCCTCTCCCTTCACAGCTTCATTGCCAACGCTGTGGACAAGGGAGTATCCGTGGTGGTGCATTGCTCCGATGGCTGGGACCGCACCGCCCAGGTGTGCTCGCTGGCCCAGCTAATGCTGAATCCCTACTACCGGACTATCAAGGGCTTCCAGGCGCTAATCGAGAAGGACTGGCTGGCCTTCGGGCACAAGTTTAGCGAGCGTTGCGGTCACATTCAGACGGATGCACGGGAGGTTTCACCGATTTTTACTCAGTTCCTGGACTGCACCTGGCAGCTGATGTCGCAGCGCAGCGAGTCATTCGAGTTTAACGAACGCTTCCTGCTTATCCTGCACGACCATGTACATTCCTGTCAGTTCGGGACCTTTGTTGGTAACTGTGAGAAGGATCGCCTGGACTTGAAGCTGGCGGAACGCACATTCTCCCTCTGGGGCTTCATGGCCAACCACCTGAACGAGTATATCAATCCGCTGTACAAGCCCAATGTGGATGAGTCCATCAAGGCCAACCTGGCCCCGCAGTGCATTAAGTGTGTATAACTTCAGGTGCCTTCAGACATGATTTAATCTTTTCTTTTTGCTTTTATAGATTCTGGCGAGGAATGTACAGTCGTTTTGAGAGCGGCATCCATCCCCGAGAGCCGCTGGGTGATCTGCTGCTCGATAGCAAGGAGCATTGCAATTCCTTGGAGGATCACGTGCAGCATTTGACCAAGCGCATAGCCAGCTTTAAGAACTACATCTCAAAGTCGGCTAAGAAGCTGCAGGATGCCACCAGCACCACCGCTAAGGTTACCAAGGAGCCGGCCAGCGCAGAGATCAATGATAACAAGTAAGTAATCTACTCCTAGATCGAAACATACGCAGTATAATATATGTATATTCCCTACCAGATACAATTATGACAAAAAGCTGAGCGAGCTTTCGGCTGCCGATGACGATCATCCGCTGAAGGCCAGCAACATGTCCTTTGCCAACCTGTCGCTGAATGCCGAGCAAGCCAGTCCGCCGCAAACCTTGCCTGAAGAGATAAATTCTGTGGCAGTGGACTGGAAGCCCATGCGTAATGTCACCACCTGCTCCTGCTCCACACCCTTCGATCAGTTTACGAAAAAGGTAACAACCTTGGAACCTTGCCTTGTAAATCATTCTAACCCAAACCTCCGATAGACACATTGCTGGCGCTGCGGGGACATCTTCTGCGAGCGCTGCATAGACAAGAACGTGGCTCTGCCCGGACACGACAGTGGCAAGGCGGTGCCCGTTTGCCGCGGCTGCTTCCGGCAAATGCAGATGCAAAAGCAAAGCCCGTAGTAAGGGAAGGCATTCAGTGATTGGAAATGGAAACTCTATTAAATTATATTGTATTGTATGTATTTATTGTTGCATTTGTAGCCTGTAGCTGCTTATAGAAGCTCTCATTCAAATTGTTGCAAATGGATATCCCTTTCCCCAAGTAGACCCCCAACAATCCGCTTCCATGGAACGGTCCTAGTCTATAAGTCGAGCACAAAACTGTATTTTGTTGTTAGAATTTAGAGCTACTCCCTGAAGCACACATCCCCAAGCAAGAAAATAAGTACAATCGAGTGCAAATTATGAATGTAAAATACAAGTGAGGGCCAAGTACGAGAAAGGGATCCGCTCTTCATCAAGAGATCCTTTCCCAAAGATATTCCTGAGCCAAGATGTACAGACACTGGGCGGCACCAACTAACTAATACATATATATTCCACTAGCATTAACCGGCGAGACGCGATGAGGACACCCGCAAACTTGTTTATCGATTTGATCAAAAGTGTAATAAAAATTATTTATTCAACAATTCTCCTCCTGCAGCTAGTAGCCAATGTCCGGCTTGATGCGAAGAATAACAGGAACACTGGTGCAAGGCAGGATGGCCACCTCGGTGACCACGGCATTCACCAGTTCCGGTGGAGTTATATCGTAGTTGAGGTTGAGTGGCATCAGCTTGCCCTTGGTCGCCCAATTGATCAGCTGACACTTATCGCCACGCACCAGCTGGTTGGGATCGCTCAGCTCATTGTACACGATGGCGTCCGTCTGGAAGCGCTCACTAAACTTGTGCGTCTCACAGCAGACCAGCACTGGGACATTGTTGGCATTGGCCACTAGTGCCACCTGAGCAGTGCCCGTCCGGGCCATCACATAGCCGTTGGCTAGCAAGGCATGGGCTCCCAGCAGCACCTTGGTGGCCTCTGCCATTACATAGCCCACTGCATTGATGAGAACATAGGTGCAAGGGATACCGTAGGCATGCAGCCGGCGCAGCATCTCCTGGCCCTCGCAGCCGGGACGGGAATCGACGACAATGACGCGGAAGGATACCTGTCGCCGCTTGGCCTCCTCACAGATGAACTGGATAAGGGAAGAGCAGGCAAAGGTGAGAAGGACGTCGCCATCCGTGATCTTTTCTTGGAGGAAGCCGCTAATCGCTTGAGCTGCTTTGCCTATTTGATTCTCGATGTATGTGTCAATGAAGTGGTCAAGAAGTTCTTTTAGCTGAGAAAGGAATTTAAATCTGTATTATTAGGAATATATAGAAGCTTTTCTCCAGAACTCACCTCTGTTTCGGGCATATCCGCAGGCAGTTGGGTGAGCTGGTTCTTAAACTGCTTGTAGGCATTTGAGACGGACACGGCCAGAGGTCGGCACTTGTGCAGATGATCCACGTGATGCTTTACAGCCGCATCTAAGCTTCGTCCAAACTCCTTCTTCGGTGGCGTCTCAAAGTCATGGACCACTTGTCTCAACGCATGAAGAAAAGCGATGCAGCGCGCATTTGAGCCCACAACCGTTCTCTTGGCGTATTGGACACCCAATCGAGCTATGCTCGGATGCACGAGTGGATCGTTGATGAACTGGCTGTCTCCCTTGGCGCAAACCAGGTGATTGAAGAGCCTGACCCGGCACTCTCCCTGCGGAACTCCGGCTGCTGAAGTTTTGCTGGGCGAGCTACTTGTGGCTGCTTTGGCTGGAGACGCGCTCTCCCGTTTAAGTTCCTTGCTGGGCGGGGCAGCAGCGGGCGCCTTGCCACCAGGCTGCGGTTTCTTGGCCTGTCCCTGGGCCTTGGCTGCACGCTGGGCTTCCTGGATGGCCCGGCGTTCGCCCTTTGTGAGTGCTGGTTTTTTCTGTGGGAGAGAAACCCAATTAATTTGAGGATCAAGAGGATAGTGAAGTGAAATGCCACCTGATCTGTTTCGTTGGAGGTGGGAGGTTGTGCTTTAGCTGCTGCTGGAGCCTTTTCTGACACCTTTAGGTTCGATAACTGCTGGGTGGCGGACTCAACCTTATCTCCCGTCGTTTTGCCTGCCTTTTTGGCCGCTTTCTTGGACTCCCTTTCGGCCTTGATCTGCTCTCGAGTCTTCTCTTCCGTCGCCTGCGCTTGCTTGCCGTTCTCCACGGGGACTGGGGCTGTTTTTGAGGGGCCGAATCCGCCTTCTTTTCTAATAACTCCAACTTCTCCTTCGCAGTAGTTGTGGTGGTTGTCGTCAGCTTGGTGGTTATGGTGGTTTGCTCTACTTCCGTGATGATTGTGGTGGCCGGGACGGCAGGAGCAGCCGCGGTGGGGTTCTTCTGTTTCTTAGCCTGTTTGGCCAGCTTCTTGGCCTCCCGCTCGGCCATTATCTGCTCCCGCGTTTTCTCCGAAACCACTGCATCCGTTTTTTCCCTCTTATCGCCCGGCATTGCACTTGCAGAATCGATGGCTGCACTTTCGGTTCCTGGTGTGTAGTTTAGATTGTGGTCTTCGTGGCGATTTCGTTTGTTGCGGGGTCGATTGCGTTGCCTTTGCTTCTTCTGCTTTGTCTTCGCGCCCTGAGTGTCAGTCTGTGGGGATGAAATAGTGGAATTAGTTGCGGTTTTAAGGAGCTTAAAGGTTCAGTAATCTATCGAGAATATAACCAATTATGCATGAAATCAACAGCCATGCAAATCAAAGTCTTAATTTCGGTACTCGGGAAAATCGAACAAAAGTTAATTGTATACAAGTATGTGTTTTGTTAGATACCTGTAGCACCTGTTCGCTGGTTACAACCATTGCGAAAGAAAGCTTGATAATAGAGAAAGGCTATTTGTTAATGAAAGTAAGGACGCGTGAAAGGTGGCAGGCTCAAACTTCAGTAGCAGCGGGAATAGCATCCAGGCGCAGCTTTAGGAGGTTTTGTCAGCTTATTTAGAGCTCGAATTAATCACAGTTTTAAATATATTCACCCATTTACCTTACAATTTGTGTTATATTTTATATTAGCGTCAAAAGTTTGCTCACGATGGCAAAAGTCTACCAGCTGATATTGAGCCCAGTGGTACCAAAGATTTTGTTATAAAATTATATCAAAAATAATAAAATACTGCCACCGATAACTATTTCGATAGGCAAAGCCATTTTAGTGCTCGCTACCCCAAACAAGTTGGCATTCCCATAGCTGTCTTTTTGTGAGGTACGTACGTTCGGCTGCCGCTGCTGAAAATTACATAATTTTTGCATAAATTGAAAATCCATCGATCTGATTTCCGCAGCATCCAAATCTTCAACTACCATGGCCGACAAAGCTGCAGCTGAGAAGCCCGCTGGGCGCCCCATGCGCTACCCGTACACATTCTCGGCAAAGATTGCCCAGTTCCCCATCAAGCACTACGTGAAGAACCAGTGGATCTGGCGCTACTACTTCATTGCGGCCGTCGCCTGCGTTCCCGTGTTCTACAAGATCAGCAAATTGGGTGGGTTTTTTCCGGAATATCTATTATTTAATCATTGTGCTAAGCTTTATTTTGCCACCTTGCAGCCAACTCGGAGGGAAACAAGAAGGCATGGGCCGAGTCCCAGGCTAAGGAGCACGCCGAGCACCACTAAACGGCCAGTCACTTAGTTTTAATAGTTGCATCAACATTTCAGAGCTGTTTGTGTTTGGTTTAACGTGATTCGGCGAATAAAATCAGTTGAAAACGAATATAAAATTACTTTAATAATTTTAATGAAATATAAAATGGCTTTAAGATATTTCTAAGAATGGTATTTTTATTGTACTGAAATATACCGAAAACATATCGATAACTTAGTTCTGGGTCAACCTATCGCGGCGGTCACATCTCTAACGGAAATGTTTTGGTGACCGGCTGCAGAAAAACGCGGATTATTGTTTTAGTTTTCTGTTTTGCTTGTGAAATCAGTTAACCCACCGCCACAAACTTTAAAACTCCAGCTGCAATCGCAGTCTATAAAGAGAAATGCATTCACCTTTGCCTTTCCACACGGTGTAACCCCGGTGCGACGCGCAATATCGCGACCACGTGAAATACCGCAGCCATGGATCTGTCTGAGTTTCCAGACATCGATATTGACCACCTTTTGGACGCCACGACTGCGCTGGAAGATAGCTTCCTGACGCCCTACAAGCAAGTTTCGATACCCAAGGTTAACACGCGGATCAGGGAGAAGCGCATTCGGCTGGCCGAACGGATTACCCAGGGCGACGAATTGATCCGGCAGGTCAAGCAGCTTCAGGTGCAAAACAAGCAGCTGGCTGACCTGCAGCGTACCGCCCAGGAGGTAACGGATCTGTACCAGAAGGAAAAACAGCAGCGCCTCGAGCTCCAGAAGCAATCCCAACAGCTCGGCGAGCGGTTCGCGGAACTTGAGAAGGAGTTTGATGCCCAGGTCATACAATGCGAGAATCTGCAAGAGAACCTGGAGACTCGGGCTCTGCCAGTGGATGCCAAAGAAGTGTTGGGAATCCTCCTACAGCTGGAACAGCGGTTGGGCGACGATGCCGGTTTGGTGCGCCGTGACCAGAACATTGTGAAAAAGCTGAAGGACTACTGCAAGACGGTCAACATAAGCATACCCACGCCAAAGAGTCCCAGTCCGCGGAACAAACGGCGAAGCCAAGCTTCGCAAACTGACACGGAGCCTGTTCCGGAGAAACCAACTCTGTGCTCTGTGGCCGTGCAGGTGGAGAATCTTAAACAGACCCGCGACCAGGGAACGCAGCACAAAAACACCACCACCACCAGGGGTACCACGACGGCCTCGTTCATTAAAAAGCACGATGTGGGCACCAGCTTCCCTGAACCAAAGCCCCTCCCCAATGTGCGGCAGATCCTTGACGAAATGCTGTCCTGGCGAGATGAACCACTGAGACCGCTGAGTCCCCTGTGTGATTTGCTCCCCGAAATGGAGAATATTCCCGCCACCGTCAGTGTGGCCACCTGCACCACTCTATGTAACATACACCGGGAGATTGACTTCATGTCGGAGTTGCCGCCGCAAATCAAGGTGTCCGCTTCCCGGCCGCCCTCGCGAACCATGTTGGATAACGTGAAGGAGGAGGCCCGGTCGTCCAGGGAGCTCGCCAAGGAGCTGCTAAACTTTCTACCTCAAAACCAAACCTGCCTGGCCAATCTGCCGCCACAGGCCTTCGAGGAGCTGTGGCAGGTATTTGGTCAAATGGTGCTGGGACTTCTGCAGCGGCGCTCCACTCCGCCCACTGTAAGTCAGGCGGACTTCACTAACTGGCTGTACGAGCTCTATGAGGGCACGCAGGGTCAGCCAGTGCAGACCGCCAGCAAGGACGCCAGCCAAAAAGGTAATGCCCCCAACAAATCAGTGAGTGGAATAATCCAGACCTTGTTCCTTTTAGATTTCTCAGGCAGCACGGAGTGTATGGACGTTGGGACAGATCCCATCATTGCATCGCCGAACATCAGTCACGGCGGAGACGTCACTCCCATACGCCTTCCAGCGAAACCTAGAGAACGGAGGCACAAGTCCAAGAAGCGCAAAGCAGCTGCTTCCACTAAAAAACCCATTGCCAAAAGAACGTGCCAGGAAATGGAGCCTGCAGAGGATAACTCAGAGAGCACACAGAAATCTAAGAGTTTAGAACAAGAACAAGAGCCAGAAACGGCGATCCAATTCTTAAGCAACTTGAATACTTTTAACATGGCCAACTGTGATAATCTCGACATGGAATTGGATGAGGAGGAAATGTACTTGCTTCAGTTGACTTCCAAGCCAACAGTTCAGGAAGAACAGGAGCAAGCCCAAGAGGCGGAGTGCGTAAGCCAATTCCTACCCTTGCCTGAAGACCAAGAGAGTCAGTCGTCTTTAAAAGATGACATAGAACTGGAGCACACCGAAAATGCTGAAAACCCAGAGATCCCTGATGGGATTACCTGCAAGGAAAAAGATTCGGAAAACCGTTCAACCCTACCAGATTTATTTCAAGAAAAGGCGAGGGAAACTGAAAACATTACTTACTTACCAGATTTATGTCCAGATGAAGTACATCCTTCAGCGGCACCACTCAACAGTGCTGGTATGCAGCTGGATCAGAATGAGGAAAAGGCGAACATAACCAACTTAATAGATGCACCGCCAACTGTTACGGATACGACTTTTAATGACAGTGATTCCGGCAAAGAAAGCAATCTAAGTGAAAAGCAGTTGGCCATTGAAGAGATTGATTCTTTTAAAGAGCTTCTAGTCGAGCCTGCTTCTACAGGAACAACTCTAAAGGAAGCCGATCATTATTTATACTCCAGCGATTCCGATTCCGAGGACAACACCATACAGAGCGTAAAAGGAACAACATTAAATATAAGTACCCCTGCAAGTCCATTAAAAGCAAAGTGGATAATATGTCCTACCTTTTTGGCAGTGACTCTGATTTGGAATCCGAAGCAAGCGAAGACCAGCTATCTAAAGAAGACATTGAGGTGGAGCCAATTGAAACGGAGAAAGAGGCAACCTCAAGTGATGCTGAATCCTGTACCCAAAAGCTCCTTAAGAAAGAAACCAAACGAAGTCTCAAAGAATCGGAGGAAGAGTGTAACACAAGTGGATCCGTTTCCAGCGAATTAAATACAGTAGACTCTGAGGAAGACCTAAACGAAAGTGAGTCGGAAACTAGTAATCAACAGGAGGAAACCAAATCGAGTTCCATTGCGTCAGAATGTGAGATCTACGACAATGAAGCAGGATCCTGCAGAAAGCTGTTGTGTAAAGAAACTGAATTGGAATCAACGGATTTAGTTCCTAGTCTCCCTAACCTCATTGAGGATTCCACCTCAGATTTGGAAAATAATGTGAAGCTGATTCACACTCAACTAACGAGTCCCACCCTGAGCTCCAGTGACGATTCCGAAGACGATAGCAAGCTGATCATTGATGTCGAAATGCCTCCCAGCATAGTGCTGCCTTTAGCAAGCCCCAAGCGAAGTAGAACTGTATCCGAGTTCAGGAGTCCAACCCCAACCCAAGGCGAAGGTCGGCTAACTCGCCAGAGAGCCAAACAACTGTTACTAGAACAACACCCCAGCACAGAGAACGCAAAACCGCTTATAGAGGAAATCAGACGGCAGTTGAAGCAAGCGCAAAACAAATCAGAGATCTGTAATCCTGCTCCTGTTACGTCTGCGGAGCAGTATAGGAAAAACCCTGAAGACTTGCAACCTGATCAAAGTTATAAATGCAATGAAGAGTCGCCAGCGTCTCCCCGTCCCGAGCCCATGGAGGAGTTGGTCGATTCCTATACAGAAATCCCGCTGGAACAAGCTGATGACATGCAATACGATGGCCAACCAAAGTCGATTATCCAGCATGTAATTGATCACTACAAAGCCGATCCGAAGCTCAACCAACTGCGAAGGAAAACGCTAGGAAAGTCACAGCAAAGACTTTGCGCTTCCATAGGTAAATACCTAGAGGAGAGCTTGGCACTAGAAAGCTTGTCCCTGGAGGTCTACAAGCTAACCAAGGAGGAGGCTGTGATCGTTAACGCCATGGTAGTTGTAGTCACCAAGATCGGCCTCGAAGGAAAAAATCTCGAGCGCCTGCTCAGTGCCCTAAATTACTTTGGTTTCACGCAGAGATTTCTGGCTGAACTGGAGGAGCGCCTGTTTCGGAACACCAAGGAACGACCGCCCACTGAATTGGCTATGAAGTACGTAAAGCTCTACTTAGCGGCGGTGTCTCACCAGGCGAGTGTTACACAAGAATACGCGAATCCGGCGAGGCTGCTACTGGCCAAGCTGCTCTATCACTACGAACAGGATATGCCGCGGACGGTATTGGCGGTCCTCCGCCACTTTCCAACCGTGCTACCCCATCGCGAGGAGCGGCAGTACGATCACTCGGACCCCCTGATCACAGTGTTGAAGCATTTGCTAATGAGCCGGACGTACGACATGCAGGATCCGGAAGGCGCCGAACGATTGCTGCTCTCCAAGCTGCGCTTTGAGTACCACTACCAGCCTTTTGAACCGAACAAAGAGCAGGTACTGGAGAACCTGGTGGAGAAGCTAAAGGCGGGCCGCAGCCTGGACCAGCTTGGCTACGCCTTTGCCCTCTTCTGCCGGCGCAGTCCGCAGATCAAAGCCGTAGACTTAGTGGTCACGGAGCACCTAATGCCGCTCGCCACCAGCTACTGTGATCTGGCCGCTGCCCAGGATGAGTCCTACGATGACCGCCTCGTGGTTGTGCTGCAGTGCATCTCGATGGTTCTAAAGCCACTACCTCTTGAAACGGATATCTCCGCCTTTGTGGGACTCGTCAAGCGGTTGATCGTGGCCGTGCCACGTCCCGGTGTCCAGCAGGCAGCTGTACAGGCCTGCTTGCGTCTGCAACGCTTCGGGTTCCAGACGATACGAGATGCCCTGCAAAACTACAGGCCCAACTATCCGTTGGATCCGCTCACGCGGAGCATGCTGCGTTGCTTTGCGGAGCGGCGGAAGCGATACCACATCATAGCGCCCAAAGGAAAGGCCGCCAGAACGTAGGCGCTGTTCCCTTGTATAATTTTCAACTATTTATTTATGAATGTAATTATATAGAATTTGAAATTAACTAAATGCCAACTGCGCGGATCTTTACAAATTTCAACTTAAAACTAAAATACACAAATCGATTGCACTTGGGTTATGCAGACGGCGCCATGCGGATGCGGAAACATAGGAGAGCTTAATGAAAATATACAAATTTGGACATAGAAGTATAGAAGCTATAGTTAATCAGTGGACTGTACAAATATAACATTGAACTAGCTTGCGGGTTCACATTGCTCTTACAACTCGAGTCAACTAGGGTCAGCCGGAATCATCCATGCAGGAGGTATAAGGTACTTGTTGTGATATCGGGCCAATCATTCCGACTTCTGCGGGGGCAGGGCTCCCAATTCCATTCGCTGTCGTAGAGAGCCATCAGTTCGTGCTAGATTATTTTGTTCAGCTTCAATGCAATAATAGAGTTAAGTTAGGGATGGAAAGGCTAATCATTGAGTTAACTTCTTACCAGCGATCTGCGCTGATGCTCCTTTTCCAAGGCAACTTGGGCCTGCTGTGGAGAGAACTTCAGCACCGCCGATATCACCTTGACCAGGGTTTCGTTATTCGTGTTGCCCGTGAGATACTGCAATTAAGTTGAGTTTGATTTGAGTTAAATTCATGTTAAAATACGGATACAATAATAATATATCAAACTTTTTCTCTCCATGTCTCTCTCACCTGGAACATGATATTGCGCAAGTACTCGAACTCCGTGTTGGCCGGAACGCTCTCGCTATGCTGCATGGATACCTGGCCGAGAAATACAGACATCAGTTAGGAATCAACAAGCAACCACAAGGATCTTCAACTCACCAGTGTTTCATCCAGTTGGCGCGACAGTTTCGCGTTCTGCAGCTTGAGCCGCTCGTTGGACTGCTCGAGTATCAGAAAGTTTTCACACTTTTGCTCCAGGAACAGGTTACGATTCGTGACATCCTGCACCTCGTTCATAATCTCCTTAAGCTTGGCCTCCAGTTCAGCTTTCTCGGCTGCGACAGGGTCCTCATGCTGCAGGCTTTTCGGTGCCATGCTGGCGAGGAGTTGCTGAGCCTGAATACCAGCCCGCAGAGTTTCCAGCTCATTGATGCGTTCGGCCATTTGCTGGTTGTTTGCTTGCAGCTCTTCGATCTCCTGCTGCATATTTGACTCGGCGCCGTCACTCTTGTGCTTAAGGTCCTCCAATTCCCGCTGCAGTCGCTCGTTAAGACTCCGCAGGCCATCTGAGTCTGAGATGGCAGCTGCCTGCTCCTTTAGTGTGGTCACCTCCAGGCTGAGGCCGTCAATGGTGGCCCTGAGACTGGCCTGTTCTTCGTGGCTCTTTGCCAATTCGGTCTGTTTCTCCTGGAGCTGGTGCTGCGCCTGCAGGAGATCCTTTTGGACCGCATCGCTCTGCTCGGTGACAAAACTGGCGTGCTCCTTCTGACGGGTCAGCTCCACGGCCTGTTCCTCAATGGCTTGTCTGAGCTCGATAGCCTCGGCCTTGGCGGCTGCACTCTGGGTTTCCTTTTCGGCCACTTGGACGGCATGCTGCTCAGCCTTTTCCTGCAGGACATAGAGCTCACACTGCAAGGACTTGAGCTTCTCCTTGACCTCTGCACTCTCGGCTAGCTCTCGTTCCAACTGTTTGGTATGCTTGTTCAGATACTCGTTCTCCACCTGAAGCTCCTCGAATTTTACCAGCTTTTGGGTATTATCTACCTTTTCCTCCAGCTCACGATCCCTGAGGGCAAGCTTTTCCTGGAGCTCGACCACCTGCCTGTTTTTCTGCGCTATCGACTCCTTAACCTCCTCCCTGTCCTGACTGTGCCTGCTCCTCAGCTGCTCCATTTCCAGTTGCAGAGCGTCGTTAGCTTCGTGCAGACGCTCCACATCCGCATTGGCAGCACTCCAGCGTGCCTCCAAGGTTTCGATCTGCGTGGCATGCGATGCAGTGGCATCCTGGATCTTCTCTTGGACGCACTGCTCCGCCTGGCGCTGCGAGTCTGCCAATTGCTCGCGAAGACGGCTGATCGTGGCCTGCAGTTCAGACTCGCTTGCAGAATTCTTGGTTTCAAGCTCAGAGCAGCGTTCGGCCTGGTCCCGCAGCTGCTGCTCCTGTTCCCGCTGACGCTCCTTCAGTTCCATCAATTGCTGTTGCTGCTCCTCGAGGTCCCTCTGAAGGCTCGCCTTGGTCTGCTGCAGCTCCTCGCTGGCCACCTGCAGGCAGTCGAGTGTGTCCTTAGTCAGAAGCTTCTCCTTCTCGTACGCATCGCACTTGTCCTGCAGAGTTCGGTGGTCGTGATCCATCAACTCTTGGGCGTTCTGCAGTTTCGAGTGTTCATCGAGGACCTGTTGCAACTTCATTTGAATCTTGCCCATCTCTTCCTGCTTCGCCTGCAGCTGGGACTCCAAGTGATTCGCCTGCTCCTCCAGGAGGCAATTCCTTTCGGCCAGCTTGGTGTTTTCGCTTTGGATCTCCTCGAGCTTCGCTGAAGTACGTTCATCCTGGGCACTGCTGTCCACCTGCTCCTGCTGCAGCGACTCGATCCGGGACTCCAGCTTGCGTTTCTCCCGCTCAAGTTCGCTGTGGGAGGCCTGCACCTGCTGCATTTGGGTCTGCATGGTCGTGATCTCCTCCAGTATTCCCGTAACGCGTGCCTGCAGCTCTTCCTTCTCGTTTTCCACCTGGCGAGAGTGATTTTGTCGTTCTGTCAAGTCCCTTTGGAGCTGCTCCAAGCGGGCGGCGTGCTCGTTCGACTTGGTCTGGTGCTGGTCGTGCTGCTTCTTCATCTTGTTCAATTTATTGCCACTGGCCTTTAGTTCTTTTTCCTTAGCCAGGAGACTCGCCTGACTGGTGGCCAGATCCTGACTAAGAGTCTCTAGCTGGGCCTTCAGTGCAGTCACAGTGTCGCTCTCTGAATTGGCATGCTGATCCCGAAGGATTTGGATTTCGCGCTGCAGCTGCTCCAGTTTAAGCCGGTGTTGTTCCTCCAGGGCGGCCTTCTCTGAACTCAAAGCGGCTGAAGTTTCACGTTCCATCTCTAGGCTCTTCTCCAGTTCGAGGGTGCGCTGTTCCCGCTGCGCCTGCAGGGCGGCTAGCTCTTCTCTGGCCACCGCAAGCTGGTTTTCCCAGTCGTTTTGCTGATGTCGCTGGACAATCTCCAGCAACTGATCGTTGTGCAGTCGCAAATCCTGTAGGCTCTGTTCGCTGTCGGTCTTGAGGGAATTCAGCTGCTGCTCCAAGGAGGCAGCCAGTTCCTCCTTGTTAGAGAGAGCGGCCTGAAGAGCATTCACACTAAGTTCCATGGACCGGAGTTTTTCCTCAGCTTCTTCGTTGGCTGCCTGTAGTTTCCTTTGCTGCTCCTGAGCTTCGGTTGTTTGTGACTCGCGATCTTGGTTGTTTTGCCGCAATTTCTCCAAGTTCTTTTCGTTTTCCACGGTCAGAGCTTTGAGGTTCTCTTGTAGTTTGGTCAGCTCTTCTTCTTTGGACTTGTGCTCGCTTCGGAGAGAGCTAAGCAGCTCCTCTGTGACCAATAGCTTAGATTCAACTTCCTCCTTGGCGGCTTGTATATTCATTTTGTTTTCCTGGGCCTGGTTGATTAGGGACATGCTATCTTCGCTAGTTTGGCGAAGTTTAGCCAAGTTCTGTTCGTTTTCTACTCTCAAATTAGCAAGTTCTTCTGTCAGTTCCTTAATTTGTGCCTCCTTAGCTGCCTGTACGCTTACCAGAGATTCGAGGAGCTTGCCCTTGGTCAACAGACTCGCTTCAGCTTCTTCCTTTTCCAATTGAAGTTGCTTCAGTTGCTTACTGGAGTCGCTTTCCTGGTTCTGCTTTTGAAGAGCTTTCAGCTTCTGATCGTTTTCCGTTTTAAGTGTTTCGAGTTGCTTTTCGAGAGTGGCCACCTGTTGCTCCTTGGACGCATAGTTGCCCTTCAGAGTGCTTAGCAGATGCTCGGTGGAGATGAGTTTGGCATCCACCTCCTGTTTGGTCGCCTGCAACTTCTTGAACTGCTCTTTGGCGTCGTTGGTGTGCGACTCCCGTTGCGATTCCAGTTGTTTTAGTTTCTCCTGCAGTTGACGAACCTCGGAGTCCTTGTGCTCCAATTCTGTGTGAATGGCCTGCTTGGTCTGGGCTAGGAGCAGGACATTCTCCTCCTCTTGTTTGCGCAAGGCTTCGTATTTCTCAGTCACCTCCTGGAGTTGAGTCTCGCGGTCTTTGACTAATTGCTGCAAACTGGACAGATCCTCAGTGGGAGCCCCATTCGTAGCAGCAGATGGTGACTTGCCCGACGACTCCTCCAGGTCAATTAGCTTGTCCGAGTCCTGCGACTGAACGCTGCGCTCTAGGGCCGCCGCAATGTTATCCGGATTCTCGCCCAGCAGCTTGAGCTTCGTCTGATACGCCTGCATCTTGCAGCTCATGTCGTCCATTTCGATGCGTAGGGCCTCCTCCAAGTGGGCCTTCGCCTGCTGCTCCAGCGTGCACTGTTCTCGCAGTTCGCTGATTCGTCGCAGCGCCTTGTCCTGCGTTTCTACCAGCACTGACTAAAAAAAAAAACAGATAAGTAAACATCCGTATCATGTGCTATAAGATATAATTACCCTGGCCTTAGAACTGTCACGCTCTAAATCCTTGTACTTTTTCGCCAGATCCGTGTAGCGACAGCGGTACTTGTGGTAGCGATCCAGAGACTTCTTGTAGGCATCGTAAAGCTGGTCCTTGGTGATCACGTCCAGCCGGGCCGTCGAAGCCGAGTCGTCGAACTCGCTGCTGGTCTCATCCAGATCGGATTGAAGGTGATACACCTGGCAAACAACTTTATAACTTAAACATTTCTTTAACGATCTAAGTACTTACCGCTGGAGCATCGTAGGAGGGCAGGCGGAAAGACACATCGCTCGCCATAGACGAGTTGGACAGCTTTCGTGTCCTTGGAGTGGCTCCACCGCCCAAACCCACTCCGTTCAGGGACTGCGTGGAGGAACGTCCCCGCAGAGAAGATGCACTGGTGGCCGGCAGTTTCTGAATGCGATAAGGCGAGTTCTGAGGCGTGTCTGCAAGATAAAAGCCCGATAAGAAATCAGAATTGAGTCACCGGGAAAACGCGAGGAAAAGAAATGCCTTACCTTCCTCTGTGATGCTGAAAAAATTCTCATTGTTGCTGCTTGTGTTCGTCTCCGAAGTCGGTGTTGTGCTCGACGATGAGCTCACGGCGGCCTAAAAAGATTGCCAAATTGTGAGTGTGTATTTGCGACAGCTGGCTTGTTCCCTGGCGTTTCTTTCGATATGGGTCACAGTTGCACCTATTTCAATCATTTTCCCAGCTCCACACGCACACACACAAGCACTCACATACCACGATTTGCATATGTTTTCTTTAATTTGCAATTGCACACCCTCCACCCTACACCCACAAACTGCAGTACCTGTGCAGCATTCGCAAATTGCTGGAACTTGGACGGCGACGCCTTCACCTCCTCGATCAGCTTGTTCTTCAGGTTAGCAAACATGACGAGGCACTGTCTGTGATACGTTTAATTGGCCTGCGCTGCCTGGTTTAACAACAATTTAATTTTTAATTAAAAAACATTGAAAATACGTGTCTGCAGGACAGTGTGGCCGCAACTACATAATGCAAAAAACCAAAAGACCACAAACGAAAATTCAACAAGTAGGCCACACTGCTTTGCAAATGTTGTGTGTATCGAATTCAATACCAATCGGTAATCAGTAGGTGGCGCCACATTTCCCTAAGAAATATCAAACTCCGTTAAATTCAAATACATTTATTCATGAAAATAGAAATATAATAAAAAGCTACATTTATTCACCAGCCCTTCAGATTTATGGTGTAGAAAGTCTTAAAATATGCATAAACGTGTAAAAAACACAGGCTGACAAAATCTGAATGAAAGCTGAACAAGTTTGCTAATTAAGACATGATTTTTATGAGCCCCGGCTTGTGTTTGAGGAATTTATCAGCATTGGATACGCCACCCATAACTATTTTATATGATTGTGACTTAAAAAATTTAACTGTTGTAAATGCGTGCTTCAAATTAAAATTTTAAGTTGGGATAAGAAATGTAAATGTATAAACCTGATCAAACTATTTTTAATTCCCAAATTTAAAATGTACATTTAATTTATTAAGCTCTGCCTTTCCAAGTCCAGACATCTAGCCATGTCTACGATCGGTAACCTGTTAACCTGTTGTTAGCACGCGCCACCAATATGCTTCCGAGCTAACCCAACCCATCAAGCGAGATTTATGTTCAAATAAAGCCTTTAAAATATTGTTTTATTCATGTGATTTTTAGAATACAATGAACGTTTCTTCTTTGAGTTATTTTTAATCGAGCGAGTGGGGACATCTTGTAGTGTGCACATTGGGAACAAGTATTACAAATAGAGCGTGAAATGCCATTAAGTAAATGTCTCGAGTAAACACCTTGCTGCCACCGGGCGGACAGCAGCTCACTTGTGCAGGTTGTTGAGGAACTCCTTGTGGCGCTGAATGGCTTCCTCGTGCTCCTTGATCTGCTGGTGGTGGAACTCAGCCTGGTGGATCTGGTCGTTCTTCAGGCGATCCAGCTGCTCCCTTTGCTGCAACGAAAAAATTCTTGATAAGCGCATGTCGTGAAGAAGAGTAATAACGTTTTGCAAATTCATTTGGAGAGTCGTAAAAAACTAATTACTGGTTAGCTAAGCCGCCCCCCCTAGGAGAGACTCATCAATAATGGATGCTAATTATTATACATCAGTATACCATATAAAGAGGCTTCAGCTTGAGCCGTTCCAGACCGCAAACACATCGCCATTGCCCCTTTGTCAACGTTCAAGAGACAATATTTGGTTAACAATTTTTAGCACGAACTTGTCTTGGCCACCAAAAACCCGGCAGCATATCAGCGAAACACTGCCTGTAAGTAGGGGTAAAAAAAGATCAGGGGGAAAACCAGCAGCAACCTGCCAATGAACCTGAATCAGCCTCTACTATACCTACAAGCAGAGGCTGCTGTTTCCGTTCTGCGCGCTCTCGGCTCATCTTCGCTGCCTTGCCCTGCCCAAAGCCTGTTTTCAGTCGATAGTTGGCTTCTGACGACGAAGAAAGTGCTGGCAGATTGGGGTCACCGTATATTATTATTGCGCATTTCAGGCCGCATCTGGCCAAATATCAATATCGTGGAATACTAATCCCACTAATACTCTTCTTAATTGCCAGTCAACAAACTAGACAAAGCTCAACCGCGAGCCACTCTCTTCAATCAGCGCCGCCAGCCTCTCGTCGCTCTTTGGTTATCAGCCGAGTCGCGTTCAGTTGATAAGCAGCCGCTCATAGTTGGACCGGAACATTTCCTCTCCGACACTTCAGTGGAATGGATCATCTCCGGATACTGCTGATTGCCATCTCTCTGGCCGTCGTGCAGGGCTATGGAGCTGGCATACCCGGCACGGGAGGATCCCGACCCGTGCGCACCGTTGAGACCTTGACGCAGTGGCGGCAGCTGGAGTATGGTTTCCCCACAGCGCAGGATCGTGAGAATGCCCAGGCAGCTGGAAATTTGGTGCCGGAGAACGGCACGCCCATCGATGTGCAGGCCCAATACCAGCAGAATGGCCAAACTAGGGTCTTCACCACCATACCACGTTTTGCAACTGGCATACCCTACACCCTGGCTATCGTTACCGAGACGCAGGCCAGGAATGGCCCGTTGCTGCAGCCATATCCCAGCTACTCCTGGCACAATGCCAACGGCGAAAACTGCGACAAGATCACCTCCGCCTTTCGAGTGGCCGTAAGTGAAAGTTTTAGTGACTTCTAAGTGTCTAAGTCTTCAAGATTCCGCTTTTTTCAGATTACGGAATGCAACCAAATGTGGGTCATCGATTCGGGTGTCATTGGCACTACTCAGCACTGTCCGCCGCAGCTGCTCCAGTTTGATCTTAGCACCGATCGGCTGCTGCATCGCTACAGGTTCCCGAACAACACCTACATTCCTAGTGGCTCGCTCTTCATCACCCCAAATGTGCTGGTCCAGGATCCCCCACCCAGGGGAAGCTGCAGTCGCACCATGATCTATGTGGCCGACGTGAGCTACCACGGTCTGGTGGTGTACGATCACCAGGCGCAGACGTCTTGGCGTGCCGAGAACCGCTTCATGTACCCTGATCCCGACTACGGCCAACACACCATTGCCGGAACGAGCTTTATTCTGATGGACGGCATGTTTGCCCTAAACAACGATAAGCGTAATCTGTACTTCCACCCGCTGGCCAGTGTGAGTGAGTACTCCGTGCCACTGAGTGCCCTGAACAGGCAGGAGAATTGGGCCAATGGTCCAGAAGCGGTGCCTGAGCAGTTCACCCTTTTGGGCAGGCGGAAGAGCGAGTGTGCTGCCTCCGCCATCGATAGCCGGAACAATGTCTACTGTGTCACCTTCAATCCCATCAAGCTATTCGTGTGGAATGTGAATACGCCGTATGCCTCGCGCAGCTTTGGCACCTTGCCAGCCAAGTCCGATGAGCTGCAGTTCGTCAGCGGCATGAAAATAGTCCGGAACGCCAGCGGACAAGAAGAACTATGGCTGCTCTCCAACCGGTATCAGGTGAGTTCGATTAGAAAAGATTTGTCAGATATTGGATACTATAATAATCCACTTTTTCTGCAGAAAATCGCCGCTGGCACTTTGAAATCGGACGAGGTGAATTTCCGCATTTTGCGACGCAAGCTTGACGATGTACAGGGCGGTGTTTTTTTTGCCAACGACGATGACCTAACCAATCGTCTAGTGTTTAACTAAGTAATTAACTAAGCTAAACTGATATCTAAATTTGTAAATATTAACTCAGTTCAAGCGGCGGAGAAAGGGCTTTCGTCTGGGGAACTTTATCGCGATAAGTTCTAATAGGAAAGTGCTCTCAGAGATGTAAGTTAGTATGCAGATTAATGAATCTAATAAAAACTAGCACAGAACTGCTTTCCAAATTAAAATTAACTTAACTTTTTGACTAAGTGATGAGTTTTTTAAACATTAATTTGTTGAAAAAAATAATCATTCAAAGAATGGTATAATTTTAGACAGAAGCTTGAAACGCAGTGAAGGAACCATTTCCGACCCTATAAATCATATATATTATTAATCAGTATCAAAATCCGAATCGATGAAGCTATGTTTGGAAGAACAATTTTTTTCGATTTTTTTGTAAATTTTATAAGGGGTTATACATCGTTAAAATTATGAAAAATTGACAAAAAATTTAGTTTTTTTAATCTCAGTATGCAGATTTGTTAAATTAAGATAAACAAGCACAGAAAAGCTTTCCGAATTGAAATTAATGCATTTTTGGGTTAGTTATGATCGATTTCAAATGCTGCCCCGATATTCATATCTACCTACCATTAGGTAAGCCCCCGTGAATCTATGTACAAATCCCCGCTAGCAATCTCAGTTTGGGAATCGGAAATAGGAACCACTATTCACGACTTGTTTTCTTTTAAGCTCTTACATCATTTCAAGCTTTACTGTACGACGTGCCCAATTATTTGCCGTTTCCGAATCGCTCTTGTGGCATCGGGTACAGTTCAGGGTCACTGTTATCGCCAGATGATTGGGCAACACGTCCACTTTGGATTGAGAAACTTAAGAAGCTCCAGATTAGACCCTCACTCCGCCACTGACCTTAACCGTTTGGAGGCTTTCCAAACAGGAGCAGGCGGCTATTAGTTACCATCAACATCAAGGCCTGGAACTGGATTGGGAGCGGATAATTGATAACAATTAATGGGGCGATGAACCATCACCAGCGTTTGGACCAATTGGGTGGCGTGCATAATTAGCTACCGCCGGAGACTTGTTTTCGCGGTGGTGTCCACCAAGTAAGCTCAACGAGAATTCGAGTGCACACACACCGTTTGGGTGTGTTTTGTGTGTGCAATTTGAAACCAGTTACAAAAGCTGACCCGCTTAGCCTGCTGGGTTAGAAAGACATGGGCCAGCTGCAAGTGGCGCATGTTCAGTATCCGTTTGGACTCTAAGTGGAGCAGACCGTGCGAAAGTGAAAGGATTACAGCATGCAGACTATCTTGGGAGCCTGTCTTGGCTGCTGCCTCTGGCTGCTTGCATCCGTGCAGGCCTTGGAGAGTGTCTTTGGCTCATTTAACCTGGAGCTGGAGTTCCCGTCGCCCCAGGAAAGGGAACGCACACTGAGGGAGGGCCTGTACGATCCGAGCAGCGTCATACCCGTCGATGTGGATGTATACTACAAGCGTGAGACTCGCTCGAAATGTTCTCTCCGAAATTCTCCTTCACCTACATCTTACTTCCAGATGGCGACGCCACACCCTCCATTTTTGTGACCATTCCTCGCTTTGCCAAGGGTGTTCCTTATTCCCTGGCCTATGTGACTAACGAGATGCGACCGAATGGAACGCTTCTGCAGGCCTATCCCAGCTACGAGTGGCACAAGACCCACGGTGCGGACTGCAATGGTCTAACCTCTGTGTACAGGACTCAAATAGACGAATGCGGCAGGATGTGGATCCTGGACAGTGGCGAGATCGATTTCATTCAGCTTTGCCCGCCGCAGCTGTACGCCATCGACTTGGAAAACGGCAAGATCGTGCATCAGTACAAGATGCCAAAGCGACTGTACAAGGAGGGCGTGAGCCGCTTCGTCACCCCCACTGTGGATCTGCATCCCGAGAATTGTGACGTAGCCTTCGTGTACATGGCGGACTCTATTGGGGACGGCATCGTGGTGTACGATGTGGCAGCTCAGCAGTCGTGGCGGATTGAGAACAAGTTCACGTATCCACATCCAGACTTTGGCACCTTCACCATAGCCGGCGAAAGCTTCCAGCTGTGGGACGGCACGGTATCCACCACGCTCACCCCTCATGGCCTTGGCGGTCGGCGGATGCTGTACTTCCACTCGCTGTCCAGCGAATGGCAGATGGGCATACCCCTGGACGTGGTCAACAACGGCAGCAATTGGAAGCTAAACGATATCAGTGCCGCCTTGGATCAGTTCCAGCTGCTGGGCAAGCGGGGCAGTCAGTGTGTGGGCACGGCCATGAGTGAGACGGGTTTCCTGCTCTGCGGTTTGGTCAAGCCGTCGAGTATTCTGGCCTGGAACATTCGTGAGCCCTACAGCCATCAGAATCTGGTGATGTTAGTAGAAGACGAGGAGCGGCTGCAGTTCACCAGCGGCCTGAAGATCGTGCGGAATCACGAGGGCAAGGAGGAGCTATGGGCCCTGTCTAACCGGCTGCAGAAAGCCTTCGGAGCGGGATTAAACTACAAGGAGGTCAACTTTCGCATTCTTAAGTGCGGCGTTCAGGAGCTGCTCAGCGGTAGACCGTGCTATTGACTTTGAATCTAACCAATAAAGCTAGTGTATGGCCATCACTCACCTTCTTGTAGAAGTACTCCTCTTCACGGGCAGCCTCCAGTTTGCCGAAGGCACCGCCGGCCTCACGGATGGAGCCACCGCCGCCGCCGCCCTTGCCGGCGCCACTGCCCAGGTCACCCACCTGGCTGCCACTCATCTTGGCCAGCCTGCGGAGCAGAAAAAAGAAAGCAAAACTTTTAGAATCTTCTTTCAAGTCTTACGTTACGCAACAAAGAAGTCAGCATAGAATCCACACCCGGCACACACACACACACACACTCGCATGGGGGACTGGCGAAAGCGATTTGGAATGGATCGAAATTGTTTATCTTATCGCCAATGGAGGAAAGGTGGCATACATAACACTCTTGGTAATTAGGGGACGGGTAATTTCTTGTTCAAGTCACAAATTAGCAGGTTAGCTTGAATATAAGCTCAATTATACATATAGAATACTCACTGGACTCCAGCGGGGTACAGGCGGGCTGCGCTACGACGAACCACGAACATTTTGCTTGCTTTTTAAGTAGTCACAACTGCAAGGAGACAAGCAGATGAAATCGAAGTTAATTATTAATCCCAATGAATTGCAGTAACTGTAAGCGGCCGCCATACAAATAAACCGGGTGCATTAAACTTTCGAAAAGGCAAAGGCGCAATAAGTTCGCCACCCATCACCCAGGCAGCCAATACATAGCCGCGTCTTTGTTTGTTGTTTGCATAAAATATACAAGTAAACACAATCTGTGAGGTATATCCAAGGAATACTTGATTTACTTATATGTTTAAATGCCGGGAAAACTGCGGCGTAGCTTTTTACTCACTTTTCTTCAAACGACGACAAAAATTTAAGCTGACCGTGTGTGTGGCACCTAAAAATACCCCTAATAGTATCGATACTATCGATTCGATAGTATTGGTATTTTTACCGCCATTTAAGCTCAGTTAAGTCTGGCAACGCCTTGCAATTGCATGCTCTGGGCACTCTACCGGCACACTTGACGCCAACTCGTTTCTTTTTCGGGAAATAAATACAAATCTATTCAGCAGTTAATTTAACTTAACCACTATTACTAATTAGACTGTAAACATGGCCGAGGTAGACGACGGTTCCGAGTTGTTGTTTTTCGACACCTTCTCACACGAGGAAGTGACAGTAAGTTCCCGCAGCCGCAGTTCTTCAGTTATTCCGTTCTCATCCATTCTCTCTTGTTTTGTAGGACATCAACTTGGATTTGGTGCAATTTCCCAAGCCGGTATTCATCACACAGGTGCGGATTATTCCGCTGGGAGCTCGTGTGCAGGCGGACTTCCCTGGCGGCGTTCGTCTAGGCGCAACGAATCCCTCCAAGTTTGACCTGGAGTTCTTTGTGAACGATTTGGGAATGCCGGGTGCCTCGGCTTTTGAGAATCTCGGCCTGTTGCGGTACAATCAGAACGATTGCATCCACCTGGACTGCTCGCAGGAGAAGATACCCACAGATGGACTGGTGCTGCGCGGGTGGTACAGCACCATTACCTTGGCGGTCTATGGAATTCTCACAAATTCAGTAACGGAGCCCATTGCCAGTCCCACGATGCCCTGCGAACCTGTCGGTGCGGAGATGTGCAACCTAAGTGGAGAGGTCATGCTGCAGGAGGATGTACTCAAGGATGAGTGGCAGGAACCCATGCAGGCAGAGATGCTGACTGCCCTCAAAGGCAACGTCAGCGATTATGATCCGGAGGAGATGGATTATGCTTTGACCCGGGAACACTACCACCAGCAGCAGCAAGCTGAGGAGCAGGAGCAGAGGGAGATGCGGCGCCTGCGACGCTCCACGCATTCCACGGACCAATCGCCGCCGCCACCGCCAAGAAGGTCGCACACGCACTCTGAGAGCAACGACAGGGAGTACATTAGGCAGTAAGGCAGAGTAATTGGTTGTCCATTTTAAAATGATTAATATCAGACTCTTCTTTCAGTTCCCGCGACAAGGGCTCCAGGGACTGGTCGCGCTCTCCGGAATACTCCAGCCATCGGTCCCGACGTAAGCGTTCTGAGCGGTCCCGCTCTGATGTGGACGAGCACAAGTGGCCCAGAACGCCGCCGGCGTCGATAGATTCGCCGACAAGGCCACGCTCTCCTGACACTATGGACTATGATGACGATGACTCACGTTCCCATTATAAAATGCAGTCCTCGCATTACCGCCACTCCTCGGAGTCGCTGCATCGTGGCGAAAGAGATCGGGACGATGAGGAGCGCTCGTGCACGCCGCAGGAACAGTTCGAGCCCATTCTTAGTGATGATGAAATCATTGGCGACGAGGAAGAGGACGATGGCGTGGATGCGGCAGCCATTGCAGAGTACGAAAGGGAACTGGACTTGGCAGCGGCCTCAGCTCCGCCTGCAATCGATGCTTTTGAACCCTGGCAGAAGCCCCTGCTGTTCTATGAAGGGGACCTCTCCGCGCACTTCAGCAAGGAGCTGGAAACCCTTCGGCTGCTCTTCAAGAAACTCGCCCTGCAGACCCGTTGCGAGAATGTGGCTGCATTCGGCGAGGAGCATGGCGCCAGTGTGGACGAAAGGGAACAGTTTGTGTACCTGGGTGAGCAACTAAATAACCAGTTGGCCTATTTGGCGCAACACTTTAAGCGGCGCAACTTTGTCCTGCAGCAGTTCTTTGGCAACGATGACGTGCATCTGCGTCAGGCGGCGAATGTCTTGCAGATTGCACTGAGCTTTCAGGCAGCCTGCATGCAGCCCCAGCCCGCCTTCAAGATCCGTCACATTAAACTGGGCGCCCGAATGGCAGAGCTTTTGGGCAGCAGCGAAGATCTCTTCCAGCATCTGCTTAAGGAGCACCACTTTGATCCCTTTGACGCGGTGTTTCGACTGTACAACGAACCCTTTATGGCCCTGTCCATTAAGTTGCAACTGCTGAAAGCAATCTACGCCTTGCTGGACTCCCGGCTGGGTATCCAACATTTCCTAGCCTCCAAGAGCAACGGCTACCAGGTGGTTATGGAATCCCTCAAGGCGGCCAAGCTAACCAGGACTAAGTTCGCCCTGCAGGCCATTATCAAAAAGCTACATCTGTGGGAAGGCTTGGAGAGCATCAAGACCTGGTGTCGGCGCCTCTTTGTGGACCGGAATGTAGCAAAGTCAGAGGATCAGGAGTCCAAGGAGGAGCCCACGCATCTACAGATTTGCCAGCAGATCGAGTTCACCTTTGAAATGCTTATGGATGCACTGACCACCAGCCAGTTAAGCTACCAGCAGCCGCGCCGCTTTCTCCCCGTTTCAAAGAAGTTCGAGGTGGTCACCGATCCCACAGCTCAGCGTAGCTTCGGGAATGCCCTACAGTCGTACTTGGGACAGCACAGCTTGGCGGAGTGCCTGCTGCTGATGCTGGGTAATTGCAAGGAGCTGCCCGCCAAGACTTACCTGTGCATGCTGGATCTAATGCATACACTGCTTCGTTCCCATGTGGGCATCGATTACTTTGTAGATGATGCCTTTGATGTAACTCAGGCAATTGTGGCCATATTGTTGGGCCTAGAGGATGTGCCCAGGCAGCCTAAAGTGGAGGAGACGAAGGTGGAAAAATCAGAGGTGGAGGAGAAGGCGGTTGCAGATGCTACAGAGGGAGAAGATATAGAGAAATCGAGTGAAACCGCCGAGGAAACAGAGATAAAACCACCTGCTGTTGCCTCTCCTCCAACTCCCACTCCCGCTCCCATACCTGCTATTCAAGCTCTGAGACCCCGACCCATTCTGCGTCCCGTACTGCCACGACTTGCAAGACTGGGCATTGAGATGTCGTACAAGGTGCAAACACGCTACCACTTGGACGCCATTGTTTACGCGGCCGCAGCCCCGGAGTACGATGCTGTGAAGATTGCCACTCATATGCACGCCATTTACTCGCAGACCTGCGATCCCGCCGGTCGCCAACACACCGTAGAGGTACTCGGCCTGAACAACAATCTTAAGATCTTTATGGACCTTATCAAGAAAGAACAACGCCTGCAGACGCAGCGTCAGCTGAGCTCTCCGGGCATGAAGTACAAGAGTCCCGTGCTAAGCTACGCCGTGGATATGGTGGATGCTTGTGTCCGATATTGCGAGCAGTTGGACTACCTCATCGAACACGGGGCGGTGATCTTGGAGCTGGCCAAGAACCATGAAACCTTCGAGCCATCGGTGTCGGCTGTGCTGCAGGAAATGTACGTGTACATGAAACCCCTGGAGGCCATTAATGTGTTCGTTTACGACGATATCATGCCCCTAGTGGAGGTGATAGGTCGGTCTCTGGACTACCTGACCACTTTTCCAGGGGATTTGATTATGGCTTTGAGGATCTTGCGATATCTTTCCATTAGCAAGCCGATCTTAGGACAGAAGCCACCTGCAGTGACTGAGGAGCTGAAGCATCGGTTTGTGGCTTTGCAGTTGTACGCGGCGGATGGTGTTCAGCTCTGCATCCAGATTATGGAACGTTTGTGCGCCTACTTTGAGCAACCGGGAGCTCACGCTCCGGCCTTGATGACCATTCAGGGAGTGCACTGCTGCCAGATCATGCTGCCCACGCTGCAGATCCTCAGGGAGCTGCTCACCTATGCGATTTTGTGCCGGGATGGCACGTACAAGGACCTTACCGCTATCGATCACATTGTTAAGGTGTACTATCTGCTCTACTACTATCCCACGCGCTGCCAGGCAGGCGTTGAGGTGGAGCAGTGCAAGATGGAGGTGGTCCAGACCCTGCTCGCCTATACACAGCCCAATGAACAGGATGAGGAGTCGCTGCACAAGTCCCTGTGGACGCTAATGATCAGGGAAGTACTAAAGAACATCGACGGACCAGCACACTTCATTCCAGGTGAGTAGGGCAGAGGACAAAATTACATAGTTTTTGGGAATCTCCTAATTTTATATTTTCGCAGGACTAAAGCTTCTGGCAGAGCTGCTGCCTTTGCCACTGCCCATGCCCCAACCACTGTGCGACCAGCTGAAGCAGCAGCACAAGCAGCGTTTGATCACTGAGCGTAAGCTATGGTCCGCGCACCTGCATCCGCAGAGTGGACAGATTGCCAAGCTGGTGGAGGCACTTGCTCCTTCCAGCTTCCCCCAGCTGTCGGAGATGCTGCAGCGGGTGTGCATGCAGCTGTCTGACCTGGCGCCGAACATGACTCTTCTCATTGCCAAGACCATCACGGAGCTTTTGTGCAGCGAATACCTCACCTCTAACTGCATTCCGACCACAAATCTAGAACGGCTCCTGCGGTTCTCAACCCGCCTGTGTGCTTTTGCTCCTCTGAAAAGCTCTATGCTGTCCATCTTGTCGGGCAAGTTCTGGGAACTCTTCCAATCGCTACTTGCTCTCAATGAGTTCAACGAAGTGGTCTCCAACTGCCAGGAGGCAGTGCATCGCATCTTAGACAGCTTCCTGGACTCTGGCATATCACTAATCTCGCACAAATCGACGGCTTTGCCTGCCCTCAATCTGTCGGCGGCTCTGCCTCCGAAAGAACTGATTCCGCGGATAATCGATGCTGTGTTTAGTAACCTAACCAGCGTGGAGGTAACACATGGCATCTCCATTCTGGCTGTTCGTAATCTGGTGATTCTCACAGAGCACGAGTAAGTCCCTAAAATTCTACCTTTTTGCTTTAATTATAATGATTCCACTACACAGCTTCACCTTCTACCACCTGGCTCAGCTGCTAAAGCAAAAAATTACCGAGTTTCAGGCATGGATGGAGCGCGTGATCCTTCACAATGAGACGGTGGAGTACAATGCCAACATTGAGTCGCTGATCCTTCTTTTACGATCCTTGACGCAAATTGAACCACCGCCCGCCATGACTGCCATGCCGCATCGCACTCTGAAGCTGGGCGCCATGGAGCTTGCTCAGCTGGTGGAATTCCAGGATATTGAACTGGCCAAGCCCCCAGTTCTGAGTCGCATCCTCAAGGTGATGGAGAAGTATAAGGCGGTGGCCAACGAGGCGGCCCTGTGTGACCTTAAGCAGCTGATACTACTCCAGGCTTCCAAGCAGGAAATTATTGCTGGAGCGAGTACCGAAGGCCCTGCCGACAGTGAGGGAGGTGTAGAGGCTAATCTATCTTCTAACGCCGGCAGCTTGGCGCTGAGCGTAGAGCCCTACCTGCCCCAGGCCGAGGGCATAGTAAGCCAGTACGAGGCGCGTCCTATCTTCACGAGATTCTGTGCCACCGCCGAGAATCCTCAACTCACGGCGCGATACTGGCTGGAGCCGCTGCCCATTGAAATGATCGAGGATATGAACGAGCCGCTCTACGAACGCATCGCATGCGATCTTACCGATCTGGCTAACGTGTGTCTTAATCCCGATCTGAATACCGCTGGGGATACCAAGAGGACTTTGAATTTGTCCGGTTCGCCGCAATCCAATCGTGAAATGACCCCGACGGCACCTTGTTTCCGCACCCGACGCGTGGAAGTGGAGCCCGCTACTGGGCGGCCCGAGAAAAAAATGTTTGTGTCCTCGGTAAGGGGACGTGGCTTTGCTCGCCCTCCGCCTTCCAGAGGGGATCTGTTCCGCTCTCGTCCACCAAACACTTCGAGACCCCCTTCTCTGCACGTAGACGATTTTTTGGCTTTGGAGACGTGTGGCGCCCAGCCAACTGGACCTACGGGCTACAACAAAATACCATCCATGTTGAGGGGCTCCCGGGTGGGCCGTAACCGCGGTTCACGAATTTCGGCAGCGGCTGCTTTTAGGCAAAAGAAGCTAATGCGCATTGGTTCGCCCTCCAGTTGGGCCGAGTCAACAGGATCATATCGCTCGGGCAACTCGGAGTCACATTTTAGCGGCAGCGATTCGCACTACTCATCGCCTCACTACAGTGGCCGTTCCCGCGGACGTGGTCTACGCTCCCGACCCTCCTACCTGCGTTAGGAAGATACTTTATAGTTTTAGGTATTAGTTTTAGTTTCCTTTTTGCTGTATTTTGTAAATAAGCTAAAAGTTAATTTTCGGTAATTATACTCTGCAAACGGACGTCGTGCGCATCCATGGGCAGATCCTCGCTGTTGACGATCTGCTCGTTAAGGGCCAGCGCCATCAACGTGACCTTCTTGTGCGGATACTTCTCGGCATGTTGGCGCAAGAACTTATCATAGAAACCCATTCCGTGGCCCAGACGAGCTCCACAGCGGCTGAAGGCCACGCCGGGCATAATGAAGAGATCGATGCCGTGACCTGAGAAAGCGAAAGATCCATTTCTTTATAGCAAAAGCCATTATTACATAATCAATAATACCGTTGGTCATGGCATCTTCACGAGCCTCTTTGAAGTCCGGCTGCTTGATGTTCCACTTGGTCAATGGAAGGTTCTCGTACTCGTCCATGCAGCGCAACCGCACCATCTTCATCTTGGAGCCCTCATACGTGGGCACAAAGACCATCTTGTCCAAGCGGAACATCTCGCATAGCAGCGCCGTGGTGTCCAGTTCGCTGCTAGTGCTCAGGTAGATGCTAATCCGCTGCGCCTGCCGGAATACTTCGCTTTGGAGCACCTGTTTGGGGTGATTTCTGTGATTACTGATAACCCTTCACCCGGGTAAGACTTCACCTTGGTTGTCACCGCCTTGGATTGCCGGGCAATAGCCTCCGCATCCAGACCCTTGAGGGCATCCTTCATGGTCTTCCTTAGTGCCACTTTAAGGCTGTTTTGAATCGTGGCCGCCATCTGTGCTTCTGAACACTCGTACGATCCGGTGAGAACTGTCTCCATCCGCTTGTCCGGAACGGGCATCTGTAGGTCTCCCGTCTCCCGAGTTCTTATCAGCTTTACACTGCCTCAGCTTTATCAGTTGGTATTCCCTTTTGAGATCGGTGTTCGTAAACAAAGTGCAGGAGAGTAGAATGAGATATCCAGGGAGTCACGATCAGCTGATCAGGGATGAGAGTTGGGGAGTTATTACCCGAAGAAATTATTATAAAAATAACTATTAGTTTCGAATTTTATAAGAGGTTTGCCAATTTAATAGATACTTTATTAAAATATGAAGTGGCTTGTCGATTAACCAGTCCTATATCTACATTTTTAATAGAGCCTAATGCATATATTTTATTTCAAAAAACATTGTTTATAAATACAAATCAGACTGTAAAATAATGTGTTACTAAGCTGAATCTACTTTTAAAACAATTCACTTCTTGGGAGCCTCAGGTGCCTTGGTATCTGTTTTGGTCTTCAGATTCTTCAGCTGTTCTTTTTGCTGTACAATTTATATTTTTAATATTAGGATCAGAATCAAATAATGTTTAAAAACTAACCTGCTTATAGAAGAATTCCTCCTCGCGTGCAGCCTCCATTTTTCCAAAGGAACCTCCTGCCTCGCGAATAGAACCACCGCCACCACCTCCTTTGCCTGCTCCACTTCCCAGTTCACCGACATGTGACATTTTCAAGTGCCTATAATATTGGAACAATTGGAAATAGTTCTAGAATACTTATGCAATTTTGTCCCAATTTATGAAAAACTTACTGAATTTGTTTTGGGTACAAACGCTGACTGAACCGGCGCAGTGTAAACATGTTTCTCTTTTATAGCTGCGATTTATATAGTATAGTTAAGCTATATATAAGGGGTGATTTGTTGCTATGACTTTCGAAGACTTGTGAAAACAGAATATTTGAAAGGAGACAGAAGCGTGCTTAAGAACAACGAGAGGGCTTCACCGCCAAATCTAATTGGATATTTGTCAAATAGTGAAATGTCATAAAATTAAAATTAAACAATAACGTATATAAATAACCATAATTAATCTATAAAAAAGACGATAAATTTAAATTTAATTCAATTTATTCAATATTATTGCCTTGGGGAGGTCACCATTCCCCATGTCCCTCTAGCTGCACCCCTGCAGTGTGAGCTGCCAACCCGCTGTAAAATAAACGAACTCTGAAATAAATTTTGAACAAGAAACTAGTATGTGTATTTTGCCAATTAATTTTTTAACCAATAACTTAAAATTTGACTACGTTGAATTCGTTTCTGAGAACCAATCGATGTTAACTTATAAACAGAACAATTAATTATTTGAATCAGATTTTAGTTCATCCAATATATTGATAGTCTTGACGCCTTCTGGCTCTTCTTGCACACGATCATGTAATATTTTCATGTTATCCGCGGTCTGAAATTAAAAGATTACATTAAACAGTGAAAGTAAAGGCTATAAGATCTCGTCACCTCATTTAGGAAAAAAGCTTCCTCAAGTGCATTCTTGTGTTTGTTCATGCACGACGAGCTGCAAAGGGAGGCATTGTCCAGTGTCTTCTGAAACTCATCCCAGTTAGGCAGTCCTGCGTCGTCCTTCTTGGTTCCCATCTTGAACATGAGGTTTTGGGTTAGCGAAGTAAAATACTCCTCTTCCTTCAGACCACCTTGCAGCTTCTCAAGCCCCCCGCCCCAAAAGAAAAGAGCTGGAGGTTTCTTCTCCTCAGAATAAGACATCTTGTGAATCTTGAAGCGCCTTTGTAGATATATGTTTAGGGATATACACGAAGTTCCACGGTTGACAAATACTACTCACCGGTACACTAGGCAGAGTCTACGAGGTAAAATTCCAACACAAAACATTTTAGCTTATGAACATATATGAAAAGTTGATAGATTTTTTTAAAAAGTTAAGTAAATCAGGCGAAGCCACAGGCTGAGACTAGTAGAATGACTAGGAAGGTTTCGGAAAACTCTCGCAGTGCCTGCTTTTTAAAAATATTGCTTGATATCAAATGTTGACAGGTAATAGTTCAATTTATTATTTATTTTATTTACAATAATATTTAATTTGCAGTTAAAAAATATATTAAATCGGAAGTGAAGTACTTCCAAACATCTTAGTTTAAAACATTAAAAACACACTGGTTAAGCAAGCATATTTATAGATTTTAAATTGGCGCCAATAATGCAGAATACATCGATAGTGATATCGCAGTTCTTGCAGGTTTATTTTGCATCGCTAAATTTAATAATTTTGTATAACAAGTTTGAATTTCCTTCAATGCCGCCAAGAAGTCGCAACATGTACAATTCTGATCTAAAATGTTGAATATAAAAAAAAATATTTAAATCATCGATAGTGCAAACAAATCGATATTTTGAAAACTGTATCCAAACATCGATGCATCGATGTTCTCATCGATGTTTTTACACCTCTAAAAGAAAATGTTGTGTTGTGAAAACGCTGTTTTTCCCCTGCTGGCGATCTAGTTTTGGCCAAAACGGAAGTGCTAACAGTGCGGGCGAAATAATGCCGATTGAGTGAGGCTAAAACACTAAACGGGCAGAGCGACCGCGCCGCGTGCGGCCCGCTCCTGCATTTGTGTGTGTATCATGGACAAGCTACGAAACAACAACAAGGAGAATGCACCCATTGAGTACCCCTACCCGCAGCCACCACCCCCCGGCCATCACCCCAGCTCCGCTGACGCCTCCACTCCGCTGGAGGGCTGCGAGGATGCGGAGAGCAATAAGAGCACGCCCTACTTCACGCCTCTCGAGTTCCTGCAGACCTCCTTTGAGTTTCCCTCGCCCACAGGTGATGGCGGCGGTGGAATTCTGGGTATACCCGAGTCGTCAGCTGAGGAAGAGGACTCGGCGCGGGCCTACACTCCCAAGCAGTTCACCGTCGCCAGTCCTCACCTGCCCCTAGTCCACCAGCACTCCCATCCACACCCACTTCCAGCCAGTTCGCAGTCCCCCACTTTGAGCCGCAAGTTCAAGCGGTTCTCGCTGTACGACCGCCGATCCTGCTCGCCGCACATCAGCAGCTCCGGTGCTGAGGAGCGGGGCAGCGGGGGGCGTGGCACCGACAAGGAGAACACCATTCCCAAAGGCGGAGGCACCTGCGACGACCAGGACCTGGAAAACACATTGTACTTGTCGAAAAGCGAACACAACTCTCCCACCATAATCTTCAAAGACGAATCGTCGACGACGCCGGGCCTAGAGGCCAGTCGCCTGACCTATTCCCCAAAACTGCTCTCCTCCATAAACAATCTCAACGTGTCCGGCTCCCCTCTGAACATCATCAACTCGGCTGGCTACAAGAACGGTAACTTCTTCCGCTTCCCGGAGATCGATCATGTGGTGCCGGAGGCGCATATGGAAACAACCGTCTTTGAGGAGACTCAGCGTCGGGACAGGAGTCCAGCGATCACCGAACCACCGGTGGAGCAGCAGCAGCAACAGATACAGCAGAAGTCCGAGGGCCGCAAGAATCGCAAGAATAAGAACAATCTCACCATTCGGATCACGGATGTACCTATTAGAAACTCGAGCCAGGCTTCGCCGTTGCCCAAGCCCAAGACGCCGACCATCAAGAGCACCAAGGAGAAGGCCCGCTCTCTAGACTCAGCGGCCAATGAGTCGGAGCTGTCGATCGTTGTGCACAACATAACCGAATCTCATGGTAGTTGCGATGACATGGAAACGGGGGCCCATGGCCAATTGAAGCCATCCGCAGGCGTTATCCATCACAACCACCATCATCTTCAGCAGCCCACTTCCGCAATCCATTCGACATCGCTCTCGCGGCTCGATAGCCACCTGAGTCTGGCCAACCAGCGGCGCACGCCGCGCCGGAAGTCGCCGGGCATCAACACCTCCGACTGGCTGATGTACCACCGCAAGCAGAACCCATATCAGGTGCCAACGCCGCATTGCAGCAGCACAGCCCAGAGCTCCTTGGATTCGGAGGCCAGTCTGACCCCCAGCTTGGGTGAAACGGAGCTTAAGTCCGCCTGCAGCGTGGACAGCAGCACTAAGTTTGGATTGGGCGCCAATCTTGCGCCGAGGAGCGCCCACAAGCACAATCAGCTGCTGCATTCGTCCAGCACGAACTTGAAGACGTTGCCTGAGTGCCTCACTCTGGTCGAGTTCTCCTCCTCCTCTGGCGGAGGCAGCGGTCCGAAGGAATCTCCCTTCAAGCAGAAGTCCATGGACTTGCCGATGCCCACACTGCAGAGCAAGGCCGCCGTCACCACGTCATCGATGAATCTGCTGCAGCGCCGAGGTTCCAACCACAGCCTTACTCTCAACCTGCACAGCTCCTGCGGCAACCTGATGAACAGCGGCCTAAGCCTGTCCAACTACAGTCTGGGATCTATACTCAACTCCAAGTCCAGCTGCAATCTGGATGCTGGAACGGCCAACCCAATAAGATCGGATCAGAACCAGCAGACACATTTGTTGGCCAGCAGCCAGGGCAGCCGCCAGGGTTTGTTCAGGAGGCGAGGATCCAATCACAGCATAACCTTAAAGGCTGGACACACGACAACCTCATGCGGGGACTTGAACTCCATGCAGCAGCAGCAGGCGATGCTGACGGCGGAAAAGTACAATCGGCTGGGCATGCGGACAAACTCCACAGGCTCGGGCTCGGGGTCAGGTTCGAATGTGCCTACTCCAAAGAGAGGATTGCTGGAACGACGTGGATCCAATCAGAGTCTTACCCTCAACATGGGCAGCATACTGGGCGTTGGAGCAAGCACAGAGATCCAGATCCAGGATATGGGGCAACCAAAGGTTACCGTTTGTAGTTGTGCCGCAGCCAACCAGGCGCCGCATCAGCGCAAGTTTTTTAGTACAGAGAACCTGAACAGCAGCAAGGCCGTCAGCCAGCAGTTCTTCGGCCAGGTAAGCTATGGCTCTGCCTCTGACCTGCAGCCCAATCCTCAGCAGGAGTCGACGGGAGCGGATCAGGGCATTGGGGCCACTTGCACCTGTGCCGGAACCGTGCGCAACATTATGACGCGACCCCTGTCGCCGCAGACGACCAGCGAGGAGTTCAAGATCTACTTGGCCAGCATCCAGATGCTGCAGAGCGCCTCCAACCCGCTCAACCAGTTCGACTTGATCCGTCTGAACTACGTCTTCGATCACAGCTACCAGACAAACAGGAGCATTATCGAGCAGCCGCCCATACTGGGTGCCAACGGACGGGACTTGGAAACGCCCACCGACGTGGTGGCGCCAAGCTCGGAGGATAGTGAACTGCTCGCCTGCTACCAGGCGGTGGTTAAAAGGATTGTGCACTCGTTGCCCCAACTGGAAGAATCGGAGCAGAAGCGTATCTTTCGGGACCTGCACAAGGAGTTCTGGGATCTGCCACTCAATCACCAGGAGAAGCCCATGGTCTTTGGTTCTCAGACAAAGAATCGTTATAAGACGATCCTGCCTAACGAGCACTCCCGCGTGCTGCTCGAAACTGAGTCCAGCGAACTGATTGGCCTTCAAGAGGAGGTCCAGAGGTCCGGCTCCTCCGACGACATGCCCTACATCAATGCCAATTACATAAAGGTAAACTGAATTTAATTAATTAAGGATTTATTTTAATGTTTTCCGGTTAAACCGGTTTTTTAGGGACCCGACTACGTGTCCAAGTGCTATGTGGCCACCCAGGGACCGCTGCCCAACACAATCTTCGAGTTCTGGCTGATGATCTACCAAAACACTCAGCGTTACATCCGTCGGTGCATCGATGGCGGGAGCAGCAGCAGTCCGCATATGGACCGGGCGCAGGTCCTCCAGCAGTACTTCCAGAAGATCGTCATGCTCACCAACTTTACGGAAGCGAATCGACAAAAATGCGCCATCTATTTTCCCATCGAGCTAAACGAAATATTCGCGGTGGCCGCCAAGTGCGAGGTATTCCAGCTGAGCGTGGCTGCCCGGGAATATTTCGATCGGCATTTGACGCCCACATTTGTGCCGGACACAGTGGTGCCGTCTTCTACGACGGATGCTAATTATGACGAGCTAGGTGGCCGGCACATTGGCGTGGAGTCGGTGAAGGTGACGCTGGAAGCTGATCTGCTTGAGGCCCTGCCCGCCCAGACCAGCTTCTTTTTGGTCAAGAACGTGGGTATTGTACGCCGAAATGGCTATTCCGTGAGGAAGCTCGTTCTTCTTTACTGCATCCACGTGCCGCAAAGTGCGAGCTATCACCTGCAGAAGATATGTTGCTACCACTACTGGTATCCGGACTGGCCGGACCACCATTCGCCGCGGGACATCAACACGCTGCTGGACACTTGCCTGCATGTCCTGAACCTGGGCAAGTGCGAGTCGGAGTTTGATAACTACGATGAGAGCCGGAACGTAAGGAATGCCCACTTGGCGGCTCAGCGTCTTGAGATCTACCAGCAGGACATCTTTAATGCGGTGCAGCCACTGCCCGTGATCCATTGCTCGGCTGGGATAGGACGCACTGGTTGCTTCACGGCCATTCTGAACGCAGTGCGGCAGTTGCGGCAATCGCTGGCCTACTCACTGACGGGAATGCTCACCAAATCGTTGACCAGCAGCACGGCAGAGGAGTTCCAGTTCCCGTCGGACAGTGACAGCAGCTTCACCTGCAACACCATAAGGCACATTAAGCACATTCTGGGTCACCAGGAATCTGAGACGGAGGAGGAGGCGCTTGAGACGCCACCATCCTTCGATAGGCTGCCCAAGATGCCGGACATATTCGTGGACGTGCTGGGCATAGTGTGTAACCTGCGCCTTCAGCGGGGCGGCATGGTACAGAACTCTGAGCAATACGAGCTGATCCATCGCTCCATCTGTCTCTACCTAAAGCGCACGCTGGCCTTGCGGCGATTTTAAGCGATGACGAACGAGAAATGCAAGAACAAACACCAATTTACCAATTTTTGTGAACCCTATTTTAATGAAAGCAACCCCGACAAGCAAATAGCAACCATAAGTAACCATGGCTAAAAGAGTCTCGAAACACTTACATAGGATGACATTTTTCGAACGAAAGAACCCCAATTCGACGAGATGCTCTCATTGTTTGCTAAATATTACTATTACCGCATATTCTATATATATATATACATATAAATGTTAATAAGTGTTGGATGTATGTGTGTGTTAAGTGTGTGCATGTAACGTGTACATAAGTGTAAATGTTTCCGACTTTTGGTGTGAACTATGCTTAAACTAAAGTTAATTAACAATTATTATATACCATACCTTACCCTACCTTACCATACCATACCATACCTTACCTAATACCAAAGACCTTATAATAACGAGATGAGTAACGCCATTCAGATGTTAGGGTCTTACGCATCCTATTGTTATAAAGTCGTGACTTATAATAATACCAAAGCCATACCCGGAAGGAACCCCCACTTCTTGGAGCTCGAGAGCCGTGCGGCCACGCCCCTCGGTGAGTTGGCTACCCGGCTTGGCGGCGGGGAAAGCTCAAACCTTTTTTAAGTTGGAACCCCCACACAGGGATCCATCTGACTAAAACACCAATTTCCCCAAAACCCAAGCGGCCAGCTCCGACCATCGGACGTTGGCCAAAGTTTACGGAACGAGAGTTCTCATCTTAGAAATACAAGAGGAAAACTCGAAATGGAAACACAAACCATAAACGAACAACTTGTATTAATGTTTATGCAATGAAACTAGTCAAATAAAACTTAGAATCATTTTAAATGTAACTTTAAATGTGTGAAATCGAAGGTGTTATTAATGGCGGGCTATTATTTGATTTTTTTTATATTTATTTGATTTTTGTGATGTCCAGGTACAAAATAAAATTCCAAAATAATCTATAATCAAATATAGTGAATTAACATTTATAAAAATAAAGGAAACAACCTTTCTTTCCCCTTTTTTCATACCCTTGCAGGGTATTATAATTTTAATCAGAATCTTTTGTCAATGTGCAGGAGTCTTTTTCGACCCTATAAATCATATATATAATTTAATTTCTTCAAAATTTTTCATTTTTGAAAATATAAAAGGTTACATCGTTAAAATTGGCAATAATTAAAAAAAAAAAATACTTATTAAACTGAGTATGCAGATTTTTATTAATATAATAAAAACTAACATGGGACTGCTATCCGAAGTAAAATTAATGCAGTTTTGGCTCAGTTTTAAAACTTTGGTTTGAAATAAAAATTTTATTGTTCAATTTTATATTTATTATTTTAAAGGCTTTTTTTTAAATTAATTTTATGAAAAGAGAAGAACATCTAAAAATATTTTCGAATATAGACACCGAAAACCACACCAGCACCATCTAAGGGTTAAGCCCAGTCAGCTGTGTCGCACGAACAAAGTTCAGCGGGAAGGAGGTTTTTGTTGTTTTCTGTTTATTGCCGAATAATTGCGAGCTTGTAAGATTAGATTTGTTTGGAATCTCTGCTGACGGATAACTAATTTCGCCATGCTCCGCTCGCCCGCCAGATCAATTTTTACGAGGCTCTACAGCAGCATGAAGGTAAATCTACGATCTCAAAGGAAATAATAATACAAATAATTTTCTGAATTGCCAGGTGAAAGTGCCAGTGAAGCAAGGTGTTGTGGTGGGGCAACAGAAGACGCTGGCCAGCGGGCTGGAGTACAACAGCTTTCTAGGCGTTCCCTATGCGGAGCCACCTGTAGGAGAGCTCCGTTTCCTGGTAAGAAGTCTAAAAATTCAACTATTTCCCTAGGTATGTACATACATAGCCATTATTTAGAGTCCGCTGCCCCTGCAACGCTTCGATGTGCCTGAATTGGACTGCAGCAAGGAGAGGGACATGGCCCATCAGCGTGATCCCTTCACCATGGAGGTGGCAGGTTCCGAAAACTGCCTGTTTCTCAATGTATACGCTCCCAAGGTCAAGAAACCGGGCGTCCCTCTGCCCGTAATGGTGTGGATTCATGGCGGTGGCTACTTCTTTGGCAACGGCAACAGTGATTTGTGAGTGTCATTGCTTACTATCCAATTGAAAGATCTAATCTAATCATCTCATTAGCCACTTTCCCGGCAAGCTTCTGGAGCAGGACGTAATTGTCGTCACCCTGAATTACCGACTGGGAGCCCTGGGCTTTCTCAGCCTGCCCGAGGAGGGTATCCATGGCAACATGGGTCTCAAGGATCAGCGTCTAGCCTTGCAGTGGGTTCAGGAGAACATAGCCAGCTTTAATGGTGACCCCAAAAACGTAACCCTGTTCGGTGAGAGTGCTGGAGGGGCGTCAGTCCATCTGCACACATATGCCCGGCATGCCAACCGCTTGTTCCACAAGGCAATCATGCAGAGCGGAACGGGCAACATGGAGTGGGTGTTCCAGTACGATGCGGCTATCAAAACCCGTAAGCTGGCGGAGCTCCTCGGCGGCGGGGACTTCGGTGGTGACACCAAGGCGCTCTTGAAATTCTTAAGGTCGGAGAAGGCCACTCCCACCGGCATTTTGTCCAACACCTTGAAGGTTCTAACTGCCGACGAGCGGCGGCGTCACCTGCCCTTTGCCTTTAAGCCAGTTATCGAAGACCGCAGCAGTCCGGACAGCTTCCTGGACCAAAACATCTTTGATTTGATGCACAAAAGGAGTCACTAGGTGGAATGCCTACCATTATGGGCTACAACTCCGCCGAAGGACTGGCCATGATTGTGAAGGCCAAGCAGAAACTGGAGGCCTATGAAGATGATTTGGCTAGGATGGTGCCAAAGAACCTAGTGCTGGATCCTCAGTCTCCAGAGGCCCTGGAAGCGGCTTTCGATCTGCGGGCATTCTTCTTTAATGGTCAGGCTATAACCAAGGATAACATGGACAATCTGGTGGACCTGTTCACCGACTACCACTTTAACATGGACCTCCAGCACGCTGCGGAGATCCATGCCAGTTGCCAAACACAGGCTCCCCTGTATTTTTATCGCCTGGATTACGTGGGCGGACGCAATATGTACAAGAAAATTTTCCAAAACGAGGATCTTCGGGGCGTGGCCCATGCTGACGACATTTGCTACATCTTCCAGATGGCCGGAGACGAGTCCAAGATGAGAGAAGATGACCTGCTGGTCACCGAGCGCTTGTGCAAGATGTGGGCAAACTTTGCGCGTGACGGAAAGCCGTCAGACAGCTGGCTGCCTGTACAAAAACCTCATCCTGGGAAGCCCTTCCAGCTGGACTGCCTGCTCATCGACCGGGAGCTAAAGATGTGCGTCAATCCGGATGGTGAGCGTATGGATTTCTGGCGCAGCATGTACAGGAGATACAGGAGCAAGTGCTACGAGGCTCTGAGAGCGAAGCTTTGATAAATCGAAGACTCAATTTTATTTAAATATAATTAACCAAAAAATTATTTAAAAGCCGCAACCGTTTTAAGGTAAACGGTATATTTTTCATAAAAATGGTCACACTAGCTTGGACAAAACTTGAAAAATACTAAAAACATCGATTTATCGATATGTCGATAATGTCATCGATTGCTTCGCAGCTATAATTTGACGCGGACTTTTTTTTAGCAAAGGACGCCAAGAACTGCGTATTGTTTTGGTAAAAATGTACGTGAAGAGGCTCGTGCTCGATGGCTTCAAGTCCTACGGCCGGCGCACTGAAATTGAAGGCTTTGATCCGGAGTTCACGGCCATCACGGGATTAAACGGCTCCGGAAAGTCAAACATATTGGATAGCATCTGCTTCGTGCTGGGCATCAGCAATCTGCAGAATGTAAGTGTACTTCGTGCCGTGCAAGGACATTTGTAATATATTCCTTTCAACCAAGGTGCGAGCTTCTGCTCTCCAAGACTTGGTGTACAAGAATGGACAGGCGGGCATCACCAAGGCCACAGTGACCATTGTTTTCGACAACACCAATGCCGCCCAGTGTCCGCAAGGCTACGAGAAGTGTCGGGAAATCTCAGTGACCCGACAGGTGGCCGTCGGTGGCAAGAACAAGTTTCTGATTAACGGTAAACTGGTGCAGAACAAGAAGGTGCAGGACTTCTTCTGCTCCATCCAGCTCAACGTGAACAATCCAAATTTCCTTATAATGCAGGGCAAGATCCAGCAAGTGCTTAACATGAAGCCCAAGGAGGTAGGTGCTAAGAGATTTTACCGATTCAATTAATTCATGCATTTCCCCCAAGGTTCTCTCCATGGTGGAAGAGGCAGCGGGCACCAGTCAGTATAAATCAAAGCGAGACGCCACCAAGACACTTATAGAAAAGAAAGAGACCAAGGTGAGGGAAACGAAGGTCCTTCTCGATGAAGAGGTGCTGCCAAAGCTGGTGAAACTTCGTCAGGAGCGCTCCGCGTACCAGGAGTATCAGAAGATCTGTCGCGACATTGACTTTCTCGTCAGGATTCACATCTCGGCAAAGTATCGCAAGCAAAGCGAGACCTTGAAGTCAGTGGAAGCCAATGAGCAGAATATCGAGGATCGCATTAAAAAGGATCAGGCCACGCATGCCAAGAACATAGAGGATATCGAGGAGATTGACAACACCGTACAGATCATGCAGAAGCAGATCGACGATGAGATGGGTGGCTCCCTCAACGAACTGGAGGCCCAGCTAAAGGCCAAGCGGGCCATAGAGGCCACCGCATCGGGCAGCTTGAAGGCCGCACAAGGAACCATACAGCAGGACGAGAAAAAGATCAAAATGGCTGCTAAAAATATAGAAGATGATACGCGGGCGCTGGCAAAGAAGAAAGAAGACATGGCAAAGGTTCAGGGCGAGTTTGAGAGCCTTAAGGAAGCAGATGCTACGGATTCTAAGGCGTATGAGGATGCTCAACGCAAGCTGGAGGCGGTGTCCCAGGGTCTGTCCACCAACGAAGATGGTCAGGCCACCACACTGCAAGATCAGTTAATAGGTTAGTCACACGATGTCCTCTATATATATTCAAACTAATTTTCCACCTGTTTCAGTGGCAAAGGAGCAGTTCAGCGAAGCACAAACCACGATTAAAACCTCAGAGATGGAACTTCGTCACACACGCGGCGTGTTGAAGCAACGGGAAGGCGAGACGCAGACTAACGACGCAGCTTACACAAAGGATAAAGGCCTTCACGATCAGTTGGTGGCGGAAATAAAGAACTTGGAGCGCCAGCTGCAAGGCATTAACTACGAAGGGGGCCAGTTCGAGCAGCTCCGGGAGCGAAGAAACGAGCTGCACAACCGCAAACGTGAGCTCAAGCGACAATTGGACCGCTGCAATGCCGCTCGATATGATCTCCAGTACCAGGACCCGGAGCCCAGCTTTGATCGGCGTAAAGTTCGCGGTATGGTAGGCAAGTTATTCCAGGTGAATGACATGCAAAACTCCATGGCCTTAGTGACAACTGCAGGCGGAAACGTAAGTTACCTTTTGATGCTTCTAGGGATTTTTATTTTAACGTAAATTTCTGTTTCAGTTATATAGCTATGTAACGGACGATGATGTGACCTGTAAAAAGATTCTCCAGAGGGGACAGCTGCAGCGCCGCGTCACCTTTATACCCATCAACAAGATCCAGTCTGGATCGCTCCAGAGACAGGTCGTAGACTATGCCCAGAACAAGGTGGGCGCGGAGAACGTGCAGTGGGCCATGTCGCTGGTAAACTACGACCGATACTACGAGCCCGTAATTAGGTATCTCTTTGGGTCAACCCTAATATGCAGAGATCTGGATATAGCTAAGGAGGTAGGTGGACTATAGAGCGGTGCCACTGCGAGACTTAACTTGTTCATATTTTAAAGATCAGCTACGATCCGCGCATCAACTGTCGTTCGGTGACTTTGGAGGGTGATGTGGTGGATCCCCATGGCACTGTGTCCGGCGGCGCTCCTCCCAAGGGAGCTAACGTTCTAGAGGAGTTGTACTCGATCAGAAAACTGGAAAAGGAATACCGAGAGATCGATGCTGAGATCGCGGCAGTGGAACAGCAAATGGCGTAGGTTAAAACGCCACTTCCTTAAACCGAAATCTTAACCCAAAATGTTTTAATTCTAGATCCATTGAGAACGTGGCCCACTCGTTCAACAAGATGAAAGAGAACCTAGAGCTGCGTCAGCACGAGCTTACCATGTGCCAGAATAGGTTGGCCCAAACCACCTTCCAGCAGAACCAAGCCGAAATAGAAGAAATGCGGGAGAGGGTCAAAACGCTCGAACAGCAAAACGTAGATGCGCGTGAAAAGCAGAAGAGCTCGCAGGCCAAAATCAAGGACATCGAGGCCAAGCTGGCTGATGCCAAGGGCTATCGAGAACGCGAACTCAAGGCAGCCACCAACGAGGTGAAGGCGTCTAAGCAACGGGCGGAGAAGTCACGTGCCAACTGGAAGAAGCGCGAGCAGGAATACGAAACCCTGCAACTGGAGATCACAGAGCTGCAGAAGACAATTGAAACGGCCAAGCAGCAGCACCAGGAAATGGTAGATAATCTGGAGAAATTCAAGGCCGAGCTGGTCGCACTAAAGGAAAATAGCTCCAGCGCAGCGTCCGAAGTTACAGAGCTGGAGCGAGCCATCAAGGATCAGAAGGACAAACTTAACGCCCAGAACAAAGAAATGCACAATCTGATGGTGAAGAAGGACAGAATGCTGAAGCAAAACCAGGAAATCGAGCTAGAGGTTAAGAAGAAGGAGAACGAGAAGAAGAAGATCAGCTCGGCGGCTCAGCAGGCCAAGAACCAGATGGAGGAATTGGAAGTCAAGTATCCTTGGATACCAGAGGAGAAAAATTTCTTTGGCATGACGAATACTCGCTACGATTATAAGAGGCAGGATCCCGTAGAGGCGGGCAACAAGCTAACCAAACTGATGGAGAGCAAGAGTAAGATGGAGCGCAACCTAAACATGAATGCCATCATGGTGCTGGACCGCGAGGAGGAGAACTTCAAGGAAACCGAGCGCCGGCGATCTATTGTGGCAATGGACAAGGAGAAGATCAAGAAGATCATCGTCAAAATGGACGAAGAGGAGCAGGCCCAGCTGAACCGAGCTGCCGAAGAGGTGAACAAGAACTTCAGCGGCATCTTCAGTTCCCTTCTGCCGGGTGCCGATGCGAAGCTCAATCCTGTTATGACCACGGGCTGTCTCACCGGCCTGGAGATTAAAGTGGGTTTCAACGGCAAGTGGAAGGAGAGTCTTGGTGAGTTGTCAGGAGGACAGAAATCACTGGTGGCTCTCTCACTTGTTCTGGCCATGCTCAAGTTCTCACCGGCTCCCTTGTACATCCTGGACGAGGTGGACGCCGCGCTGGACATGTCGCACACGCAGAATATCGGCAGCATGTTGAAGCAGCACTTCACCAGCTCCCAGTTCTTGATCGTGTCCCTCAAGGACGGCCTCTTTAACCATGCCAATGTCTTGTTCCGGACACTGTTTGAGGAGGGTGTGTCCACCATTACCAGGCAGGTCAGCCGTCAGGCTACGACCAGTCGGCGCTGATTTTTACAGTTTTGCTTCAGAATTATAATCTCATTGTATTTTCAACCAAGTTTCACGCATTTATGTTTTGGATATTAGTATTAACACAAAATGTATAAATCTCTTCTTATAAATAAATTAAGAATACGGCTTTTGATTATACATATTTATTTATATTTGGATAATTAAAAATTTAATTTAAAAAGTAGTACATTTTGATAAAAAATATTTGCAATTTACCGTAAATCAAATAAAGTAACGGTTTTCCGCCCATCAGCTGATTTCCAAACCGGTAGCTCGGGCAGCAAACGTCAATCTGACGGACCGACAGAGACGAAGCGACTGACGACTGTGCATCGCACGTGCCGGAAAGAGACGGAACGCTGGTGAGACCGTCGAACGCGCACACACACTCACGCACGCAACAAGAAGACGAAGAAGAAGAAGCAGATTAGGCAGCAACACAATGTTTGAGAAGTGAAAAAAACTCGAATTAAATAATAAATCTACGAACTACAATAAGCAAAGGCGGGCGAAAAGGAAAACATCAAGATTTCGAGCACACGCAGATTCCTCCAGAAGCTCACAATGGTAATTGTAAATGTCTTGACTGGGGGAATCGTTCGATTCTCTGGTCATGTGTATGCATGTGCATCCGCGCGGGCGTGTGTGTGTATGTGCGTGTGTGGGGAACAGCGAAAAGTTGTAGACACCGCTGACATTTGGATAAACAATAGCAACAATTTAGTGTTTTCCAGCAAGGAATTACGGATACTCATTCACAGAAATATTGCGTTGACTAAAGTGTTAGGAATTTTATGCTGTGTTTTATTAATTTACAATATTAACTCCTAGCTTTTCGTCTTCTTTTTTCCAGGATCGAGTGACGAAGCCCCAGAAAAAGATGCTCATCACGTTGCTGCGAGAGACCAAGTACATGGAGGGCAAGAAGGAGAAGGAGTGGTATTGGGAAAAGATCCAGGCAGCCCTGAACACCATTGGTCCCAAAAAGACCATTATCCAGTGGAAGAAGGTACATATATTGTTGCCATCACAAAGAGCCCAATTTCTAATGTGTATGCCCTGTAGTGCTGGCGGGACATGCGGCTGACTACTAGGAAGAAACTGGCGGAGCTAAAGCGCTGTCAACTTTCTGGGGGATCGCCTCCACCAGGAATTGAGCTCAATCAGGAGGACAACGATATTATCGACATAGTAGGCACCGAGTACTTCTACGAGGAAATGAACGGCGAACTAAAGCCAGAGAACTTTATGTCCGGTTTTGACTATGCGCCAGAGCACCTCTGTGATGCCATTCTAACGGCGGCCGTGGGCCACCATCAGCAGCACCTGCAGCACCAGAAGGATCCACAGGCCCACGCTGTACAGCCGCAACAGCAGGATCATCACACCAATGATGGGGAGACCAACGATGCGCCTGGTTCCTCCAATGGCGGATCCTATCAAGGGCAGCCCGTGCCCCAGCTGCAAACGCACAATGGCGGAGGCGCAGGTGGCGGCGGTGGAGGAGGAGAGCATGGAGGTGGCAGTGGGCAGTTGCACTCGGCTCCACAGCATCCGGCTTTTCACGGGAGCCTGCATCCGCACCTGTTGAGGCGTCAGCACGGCAGTGGCTCGGTGCCCAGGGAGTCGCCCTTCGAGGAAAAGCTGCTGCAGTTTATGCAGGATGCCTTTCCGAAGAAAAGCAAGAAGCGCAAGAACCGAGATCCGGACAAGCTATTTCTTCTATCCCTGTACGAAGAGATCAAGCGGGTGCCTGAGGAGATACGCCTAGATGTGAAGTCCGAACTAATGCAGATATTGAAGAAGTACCAAAAGAAGTCGCCTGTCAAGGCGGAAAAGTCCACGGCATCATCCGCGTCGACCTCCTCAAAGCAGAGCTCCAGCAGCAGTAGCAGCGGTTCGGTGGCTGCCCACCTATCACACAGCATGTATCAGTTGCAGAAGAAGTACGAGAAAGGCGATCGCGAGCCTTCGCCACAGTCGCAAGTCGAGCGAGTTAGTGCTGCCGGAGCAGTGGCCGTGCCCTTACACGCCTCCCAGCAACTGCCGCACTTTCAGTTGCAGAAGAAGTATGAGGAGAGCGCCGTGGAGAAGGCCCACCAGCAGCAACAGCAGCAGCAGAGCGAGCAGCGCAAGCATGTGGAGGCCGCTCAGGCGCACCACGCTGCCCACCAGCAACCGCCGCCGCCACCGCCCAATGAGCAGCATCTACACCACCCTCAGATGACACACAACATCATGTTCCCGCTGGGCCAACTGCGCAACGAGCAGCCGCCGGCACAGCAGCACCAGCACGCTCACAATCCCCACCAGCAACAGCAACAACATACCCATCAGCAGCAACAGCAAGCGCAGCAACACCACCCGCCCACAATTTTTGGCTCGAGCGCCAGTGAACGCCCGGCAATGTCCTACGAGAACGTCGGATGAGTGCTGAGCCGTCTGTGGGAAGCCACTTGTGGAGCACCACGCCCTGCGACGGTGTCCCCCACGACGGCAGACGCGCATCCCTGTTAGCCCTCGATCCAGACACCCTATCCTAGCCGTATGCTAGCCAAACCTAAGTTTGCATTGATCTCTTGCTACGAGGCTGTTTATAATTCTATGGCGAAAATAAGCTCGGAATGAGGCCAGCTATATAAAATATTACTGCTTCATGTTCTTCGAAATTATGTCTGTGGAATTATGAGAGCCTGGTGGTAAGAGATCTCGCCATGATCCTCATGTAAATGTTCCAGTGGCAATACAAGCACAGATTAACTGTGACTCAAGTTCTCAATAAGTCGCGACGCGTGAATTTATCGATGTAAACAGAAATATAAAACATATATCTTTAAGTGATACTTGTTCCATATTTGAATATTATTAAGTTCTTTAGTATCTTAAAGAACTCTTTAAGGTTTTCTGACTTGGTACATTGCCAGACAAATGAACTCTCATATCCACATTCTATTTATTTGCCAAACTTTATGGCTTCTACTCTCCAATCTCGCAAGAAATCTTCGTTTGTTTGGACTTTACCAAGACTGTAAATCCCCGAGCGCGGCGTACCATTAAACTGTCTCCTGGTATATCTTGCCTCCAGTTCTCGTTACGCGACAACTGAACCCGAGGCGGGAGCACGCCATGTCATAAAGATAGCCGAACAGCTGACTGATCCGATCTGCCTAAATGCGAACTTTATCTGAGCGGGGCCGATCGCCGAACTCGTCTGTCGTCTGCCGTCGCATGCAGGTTGATGATGATCACGAGCCGAGCTGCAGCATAATCCGCCAGATCTGTGGCGCTTATCAGTTGCGTGAGACTTGGATACAGGCGCAGATGCGCAAAGCTACCGGCAGATCGGATTGGATCTGTTGGGAGCCGTGTGGGGCTGGCATTCTATTCCGGCAGCGGTCCGCAGCAGTTGATCGTTGGATAGGCTTGTCCAAACCAGACTCGTCCAGACCCAGGATCCCGATTTCGGCAACCAAATTTAAGTGGAATCCCGCGCGTACTAACTAACCATTCGCCATGGCTGCAGGTACCTGTCTTACCTCGCTCAAGATCTGGCTCAAGATCTCTCCAAACGTGAAACTTAACCACAATTTGTGGCTTTGCTTTTCAATATGTTTCGTCTCTCCTCTCGATTTCTTCCAGTCGAGGCGCGCACGGTGCTGTGGTACATGACATTCATGGGCTTTATTGTCAACTACATGATCCGGATCAATCTGAACATCACCATTGTGGACATGGTGGCCAAAAAGGTGGTTCCCTCGCTTCTCGCCAACGATACGCTTGAAGGAAACTCCACTGCCCTTCCGGTGGAGGAATTGCATAAGGGATTCTCGCTGGAGCGTTGGTTTTTGAACTGGGCGAATGTGAGTAGCATTGGATCAATGATTCATCTCTGATTAAGTGCTTAATGAAGCCACTAAGTGATGCAACACCGGGGCGTATGAGTAATGTTTACCCTATATATATTGCCTGCAGATTCCGTATGAGAGGGAGGGCTTCCACTGGGATGAAAAGCAGCAGGCTGCCCTCCTAGGATCCTTCTTCTGGGCCCACTGGACCCTCCAGATTCCCGGCGGCATCCTGGCCACCAAATACGGCACCAAATTGGTCTTTGGCTGGGCCAATGGAATCGGTGTCTTCTGCTGTTTCGTTATTCCCCTGATTTCCTATTGGAGCTACACAGGCTTGATTGCAATTCGCGTGTTCCAGGGTTGGATAACGGTGGGTACAACACCTCTGTTAAGGACAATAAGGACAATATTTTGAGTCTTTCTTTATTTAGGGCCTGGCCTGGCCATCGATGCACGTTCTCACGGCCAAATGGATACCGCCCAATGAGCGCAGCAAGTTTGTTAGCGCCTATTTGGGAAGCTCGGTCGGAGTGGCTCTGTTCTATCCAATATTTGGCTTCATCATCGACTGGACTAGCTGGGAGTGGGTGTACTACATCTGTGGCATTGTGGGTACCCTGTGGTTCATAGCTTGGCAGTTCCTTGTCTTCGACAGTCCCGCTCAACACCCTCGCATTGCCGACTCAGAAAGGAGGTATATCGAAAAATCCCTGGGCGCCTCGGTTCAGACTGCTAAGCCGGGACCCACACCCTGGCGAGCTATAGCCACTTCTCGACCGGTGTGGCTAAATGTGGTTGCTCAGTGGGGCGGCATCTGGGGCCTATTCACCCTGATGACCCATGCGCCTACCTACTTCCGTCTGATCCATCACTGGAATATGAGAGCCGTGAGTGGGGGACTGGTTAAATCTTTGGACGGGAGTAATTTGTATTTTTTTATGTATAGACGGGTTTCTTGTCGGGCTTGCCACATCTTATGCGGATGCTCTTCGCCTATGTCTTTTCCATGTTCGCCGATTATCTGCTGCGAACGGATCGCCTGAGTCGCACAAATGTCCGCAAGCTGGCCACTTTTGTCTGTGAGTATCAGTATCAGGATTCTTGATATTTCAGAGGAATACTTTAATTATAATCCTACTTGCAGGCTGCGGTGTCAAGGGTCTTATAGTCCTGGCATTGGCTTACTTTGGTTACAATGCCACAGCTGCCATTCTGTTGGTCACCTTGGCCACCATGTTCCATGGTGCAGTGTCCTCAGGACCCTTGGCTTCCATGGTGGATTTATCGCCCAACTATGCTGGCATTGTGCTTGGAGTAAGTGGAATGATTGGAGGAATGCCGGGTTTTATTTCGCCCTTAATAGTGGGTTACCTAACCCAGGGAAATGTGAGTTTAGAGAAGTTATTAGGAACTGATCTTATTTATAATCTTTATAGCAAACGATTGAGGCCTGGAAGCAGGTCTTCCTGCTTAGTTCAGCCATGCTAACGGGCAGTGGCATTCTATACGTGCTCTTTTCGGAGTCCACATTGCAGCCTTGGAACAGTGGCTGCCACCCGTTGCCCGATCCTGGTCTCAAGGAACTGCAATCTTTGACACTCCAAAAGGAAGATGAGGAGGAGAAGAAGCCCCTCAAGGCTGAACACGATCAGGAAACAGATTACAACTTGCCCGAAAGGGAGACCAAAACAAAATCTGAGGGCAATGATGAAAAGTGACAAGACAGGGGGCTGCGTCACTCTCCTTTATTGGCATAATACCGTGTTAGTTATGGCACCTCCGCCATACGTCCTCTGATAACGCCTATCGCGCTATTCTCTGTAAATAATTACCCATCGGATTAGGCGGGTTTAGCATCTTCAACCTCTAGATTTAAGCGAGTTGTTTACTATAACATGGGATTCTTTTCCCGGGATTGTGTTTGTTCAGTGTGTGTTGTTTGTGTGCTTTTAGTTTAAGAAAACCTAAAAATGATTTAGTGACCATTGTTTTCTCTATATAATACGAAACCCCCAAAAGTCATTTGAAATAGATCACTTGGGGTCTGCATGGCTTGGCCTGGCATCAGTTAGATAAAAGTATTTTATATCATTTCGGAAGCTGAAAGCGATCAGCTACTGTCTGGGAAAGTTTTCTTTAAGGTGGTTCAGTTAAGCCCAAAGCAAGATTACGATTCTTTTCAGAAGGATGAACAGAGGTCACTATCTTGTGTGATATCTGAAATTGTGGGCTTATTTTTAGACAGATTACAATCTGATAGTTATCAAGCTGGATATAGGAACTAAAAATAAACAGCTGGGAAATACATATATAATTTTATGTTAATAACCTAGACCGATTCGTTTCATCTAAAAAAATTATAATTGCATACATTAATTCGTCGACGAGCTCTTTTTTTCGTTAAGGAGTTATATCAAGGAGATATCAGACACTCCTTCCAATCAATTTCCTAGCTAATGAGAAACCCAATTTACCCTTCGAACAAATGATTTGCCAAACTCAAGTTAATAATTGCAATTTAAATCAAAACTGATTGAACCGGAAAATCGTTTTCCCTTTTTGGCTGCCGTTTCTCTCATTACTCATACCACGCGTTGCACAATTGGAAGTTTTAAGAAGAGAAAGAAGAGAGGGAAGCTGGAATCGAGAGGTGAACGATGGTTTTGGGCAATGTCAGAGGTTGAGCAACCTTTGGTCCTCGACTTTTTTACGTGCCTGCATTTGTTTCATTGGCGTCCATTTCCGATTGCACTCCAGGGAGTCGTAGATGTCAGTCCCCGTCTCCAACTCCATAGCATCTAGCAACATCTACCCCCAAATCCTCCTGGTCGGTCCACTTCGCTCTTCGTCCGCTAAGCCAGTCGATGTCTTGTCACTTGATCCTTGAGCTTGAGCCTGCAAAGTCCGGGGCATTGATAGAGATTAATTGGTTTCCCGTTACGTTTGGGCAAAAGGCTGATAAATACGTGAAGGATGTAGTTTGACGAAGAGGAGTTCCCTAACAAGATTATATCGTTGATTTGCCGTCATCATCCTGAAATTGAGAAATTGTAAAGTAATGGACGGGTTGGGTTATGGAGGTTTTACCAAAAGGAACTGCATAACTATACACTCCTCCTGGGTACTTATCATTCCAGTCGGAAGCTTGCAACGCGCTGAAGGAGACATCCTTGATCAGCATCAATAGGCGAATCTTTCTAGGTATAAAAGAGAGAAACAAATTTTTGGTCAATTTTATCAAAAATAATAAAGGTTACATCGTTAAAATATGCAAAATTCGACAAAAAACTGATTTTTAAAATTAAACGCAGTATGCAGATTTGTTAGCGCTTTCAAAACGAACACAGAACACATTTCCGAATTGAAATTAATGCATTTTTGGCCTAATTATGATGTTTGGAAAACACTGATTATTTAAAAAAATAGTCTGTTTTTATACCTTTTTTCAGGTTATTATAATTTTATTCAAAATCATTTAACAGCATCAACAAACGCAGTATGCAGATTTGTTAGCGCTTTAAAAACAAACACAGAACACATTTCCGAATTGAAATTAATGCATTTTTGGCCTAATTATGATGTTTGGAAAACACTGATTATTTAAAAAAATTGTCTGTTTTTATACCTTTTTTCAGGTAATTATAATTTTTTTTAAAATCTTTTAACAGCATCAACAAACGCAGTATGCAGATTTGTTAGCGCTTTAAAAACGAACCCAGAACAGCTTTCCGAATTGAAATTAATGCATTTTTGGCCTTATTATGATGTTTGGAAAACACTGATTATTTAAAAAAATTGCCTGTTTTTATACCTTTTTGCAGGGTGTTAGTATTGTTCAGAAGCTTATAAAACAATGAAGGAATCATTTCCGACCCTATAATTCATATATATTCTTGATCAGAATGAACAGCTGAATCGATCTAGCCATGTCTAGTGGAAAAATAAATTTTTCTATTTTTATCGAAATATGAAAAAAAAGATAAGGGGTTACATCATTAAAATTTGCAAAATTCGACAAAAAATTGAATTTTTAAAATTGCAAAACGCAGTATGCAGATTTGTTAGCGCTTTAAAAACGAACACAGAACACATTTCCGAATTGAAATTAATGCATTTTTGGCCTTATTATGATGTTTGGAAAACACTGATTATTCAAAAAAATTGCCTGTTTTTATACCTTTTTTCAGGTTATTATAATTTTATTCAAAATCTTTTAACAGCATCAACAAACGCAGTATGCAGATTTGTTAGCGCCTTAAAAACGAACATAGAACAGCTTTCCGAATTGAAATGAATGCATTTTTGGCCTAATTATGATGTTTGGAAAACACTGATTATTTAAAAAAATTGCCAGTTTTAGTATGCAGATTTAATAGCGCTTTAAAAACTAGCACAGAACACATTTCCGAATTGAAATTAATGCATTTTTAGCCTAATTATGATGTTTGGAAAACACTGATTATTCAAAAAAATTGCCTGTTTTTATACCTTTTTTCAGGTTATTATAATTTTATTCAAAATCTTTTAACAGCATCAACAAACGCAGTATGCAGATTTGTTAGCGCCTTAAAAACGAACACAGAACACATTTTCAATTTGAAATTAATGCATTTTTGGCCTAATTATGATGTTTGGAAAACACTGATTATTTAAAAAAATTGCCTGTTTTTATACCTTTTGCAGGGTGTTAGTATTGTTCAGAAGCTTATAAAACAATGAAGGAATCATTTCCGACCCTATAATTCATATATATTCTTGATCAGAATGAACAGCTGAATCGTTCTAGCCATGTCTAGTGGAAAAATAAAATTTTTCATTTTTATCGAAATATGAAAAAAAAAGATAAGGGGTTACATCATTAAAATTTGCAAAATTCGAAAAAAAATTGAATTTTTAAAATTGCAAAACGCAGTATGCAGATTTGTTAGCGCTTTAAAAACGAACACAGAACACATTTTCAATTTGAAATTAATGCATTTTTGGCCTAATTATGATGTTTGGAAAACACTGATTATTTAAAAAAATGGCCTGTTTTTATACCTTTTTTCAGGTAATTATAATTTTATTCAAAATCATTTAACAGCATCAACAAACGCAGTATGCAGATTTGTTAGCGCTTTAAAAACTAGCACAGAACACATTTCCGAATTTAAATGAATGCATTTTTGGCCTAATTATGATGTTTGGAAAACACTGATTATTTAAAAAAATTGCCTGTTTTTATACCTTTTTTCAGGTAATTATAATTTTATTCAAAATCTTTTAACAGCATCAACAAACGCAGTATGCAGATTTATTAGCAATTTAAAAACGAATACAGAACAGCTTTCCGAATTAAAATTAATGCATTTTTGGCCTAATTATGATGTTTGGAAAACACTGATTATTTAAAAAAATTGCCTGTTTTATACCTTTTGTAGGGTGTTAGTATTATTCAGAAGCTTATAAAACAATGAAGGAATCATTTCCGACCCTATAATTCATATATATTCTTGATCAGAATGAACAGCTGAATCGATCTAGCATGTCTAGTGGAAAAATAAATTTTTCTATTTTTATCGAAATATGAAAAAAAAGATAAGGGGTTACATCATTAAAATTTGCAAAATTCGACAAAAAATTGAATTTTTTAAATTGCAAAACGCAGTATGCAGATTTGTTAGCGCTTTAAAAACTAACACAGAACACATTTCCGAATTGAAATTAATGCATTTTTGGCCTAATTATGATGTTTGGAAAACACTGATTATTTAAAAAAAAAAACTGTTTTTATACCTTTTTTCAGGTTATTATAATTTTATTCAAAATCTTTTAACAGCATCAACAAACGTAGTATGCAGATTTGTTAGCGCTTTAAAAACGAACACAGAACACATTTTCAATTTGAAATTAATGCATTTTTGGCCTAATTATGATGTTTGGAAAACACTGATTATTTAAAAAAATTGCCTGTTTTTATACCTTTTTTCAGGTAATTATAATTTTATTCAAAATCATTTAACAGCATCAACAAACGCAGTATGCAGATTTGTTAGCGCGTTAAAAAACGAACACAGAACAGCTTTCCGAATTGAAATTAATGCATTTTTAGCCTAATTATGATGTTTGGAAAACACTGATTATTCAAAAAAATTGCCTGTTTTTATACCTTTTTTCAGGTTATTATAATTTTATTCAAAATCTTTTAACAGCATCAACAAACGCAGTATGCAGATTTGTTAGCGCCTTAAAAACGAACACAGAACACATTTTCAATTTGAAATTAATGCATTTTTGGCCTAATTATGATGTTTGGAAAACACTGATTATTTAAAAAAATTGCCTGTTTTTATACCTTTTTGCAGGGTGTTAGTATTGTTCAGAAGCTTATAAAACAATGAAGGAATCATTTCCGACCCTATAATTCATATATATTCTTGATCAGAATGAACAGCTGAATCGTTCTAGCCATGTCTAGTGGAAAAATAAAATTTTTCATTTTTATCGAAATATGAAAAAAAAAGATAAGGGGTTACATCATTAAAATTTGCAAAATTCGAAAAAAAAATTGAATTTTTAAAATTGCAAAACGCAGTATGCAGATTTAATAGCGCTTTAAAAACTAGCACAGAACACATTTCCGAATTGAAATTAATGCATTTTAGCCTAATTATGATGTTTGGAAAACACTGATTATTAAAAAAATTGCCTGTTTTTATACCTTTTTTCAGGTAATTATAATTTTATTCAAAATCATTTAACAGCATCAACAAACGCAGTATGCAGATTTGTTAGCGCTTTAAAAACTAGCACAGAACACATTTCCGAATTTAAATGAATGCATTTTTGGCCTAATTATGATGTTTGGAAAACACTGATTATTTAAAAAAATTGCCTGTTTTTATACCTTTTTTCAGGTAATTATAATTTTATTCAAAATCTTTTAACAGCATCAACAAACGCAGTATGCAGATTTATTAGCAATTTAAAAACGAATACAGAACAGCTTTCCGAATTAAAATTAATGCATTTTTGGCCTAATT